TGTATCTTCTAAAGTATAAATTATTATTTCTCTTAATATTATTTTTCGAGTTAGCCGAATAACTTAAAAATTTTTTATTCACTTGCAATTACTCATGTACCTAATATATATTATAACTACTTTTTTGGCACAAACCAATATCATATAGGTACCTACGTTTTTTTAGTTAACGGTCGCTATTCGGGAATGATCGAACAATCATTAAACAATTCTCATAAATTAGTTCATAAGTTGAAAGTCTTATAAAAAGTATAAATATTTTTTAAAAAAAGTGACCATAAAATATTAATTAATTGTATATCTTTTGGCCAACATAAAAAAATAAATAATCTGTGACACATTTGTTGTTAAACAAAAAAATTTTCCCAACAAAACTATTATCAGCGATAATTCAATATTTTACGACATAATTTCGTTGAAAATTTTTTTTATATACTGAAAATGTTCTCGAAAACCTATTGCCATATCCGGTTTGTAGGTACTTATATTTAATAACTATTGTGTTGCCTAGTAAACAAAAAATTTTTATAAAAAAACTTAATTCCTAACTCATTGCAAAGTTACGTATTTCACTAAAGTTTTCACAACATTATAATCTGTTAATAATAGTATAATGTCAACTATAAGTGAGCCAGGTACTACTTGGTATTTCACCGGTGATGAACAGGAACCATTTTTAGAGACACCCTTAAAAGGTAAAATAAAAACATAATACTTTTACAGTTGCTAAAAATCACTTTTGGAACATGATATTATTTTAAATCTTAAGCTATAAATCTATACTTGTATACCCAAAATTGTTTAGTATTCTACCAGGTACTTGTATAAATAATTTTTATTATATACTTATTTTGGTAGATTAAATTAGATAATTATTATAAAGATTTTAGTAAATAATAATGATAATTTAGAAATCATGATTTTTCGATAAACTATGCTAGTAAATCTTTTATGGATTATTTTGAATCGACTTATTTCAATATTCAATTCTATGCTATTTTAATTAGAATATATATTAAATCCTTAGTATATAAATATTTATTTTTGAAATAATTAGAGAATAATGTGCATTAATAATAACCATTTATAATTATTTTTTGTTATTGTATCTGTAGTAATGTATTTATCTTGAATATTGTTTTATATAAGTATAAAAATATTTGTTTTTCAATATTTATAATAATGTAAAAATGTTATTTATTTTAAATTTAAGCAATTGTAATATTACTGTTTTGATTTATTATATGTTAATAATCATGACTCCTTGTATCCAAACAAATCACATAAGCTTATAAGAAGTAGGTTAATCAGATCTTTAATTATAAATAATACCTAATCTTTATTATTTTTATTTGATTTTCTAAAAAAAAAAAATAATTTTGTATAACTAACAAGATGAACTTAATTTATACTATCAAATTACGTATGTTATATTAATCACTTATATAATGTTAGTTGTAATCCTTATTTGAATAAAATAACAACGAAAAAACGTATAATAAAATATGTAATAAGTGATAACTATATATCGCATAAAACAATTATGTCTTTTTATTCCGACCCAATGTCAATTGTAGCATAATATCATATTACTCCTTTAAATGTTTTCTTTTTCTTTATATATATATATATGTTATATATGTTACGGTAAAGGTATGAAAATCGGTAAAACTTAGGATAAACAAATTAGTTTGGTCAAACCCCGAATGATTATTATAGTTCGAACTTTTACAAACGGAATTGGGTAAATCTGCCTGGTTAGATTAAAGCCTGCACAAATAAATAGATTATGAATTTAATAATAAATTTGTTCTAAATTCGAATATATTAGATATTATAAATATTTAATATACTACTAAAATATAGTTAATAAAGTTCCTATGTGTATGAACAATATATAATAATTATTAATAATATAAATGTGTGTATCTATCTAATACTAAAATATATAATAAATATATAATATACTTAAATAATAATAATTATTATTTTTTTATACGAGAACAAAGCAAGGGAAAAAATATGACATATAATTGGTAAAAAATATCGGACTGTTATCTACACTAGTTGTTTATCCTAAGATTTACCAAATCTCATTTGTAAAAGTTCGAACTATAATAATCATTTGGGGTTTGACCAAACTAATTTGTTTATCCTAAGTTTTACCGAAATCGATCAGTAAATTTCCGAAATTCGGACATTTACTGGTTTTCGTACCTTTACCGTAACATATATACAATATAAAAACCCAAAATATAAACTTATGATCTCACTTTAAATCTAAAGTTAGTTCAAATGTTTTTTTCTTAGAGTGTACACCAGAACAAATACAAGCGAAACTGAAATTTTTGATAAAAAATATTTTGCTACTTAGATGCGAATGTGAAGTAATAGAATTGAATTCGATAAAAGTACAACCCGACCTTATCACTTCAAGTAAAATACTAATTTCATTCGTTTCTCGAAATCCATGCAATATTATATTATACTTCATAATGTCATATTATTAATGTTTTGGTATGTAGACACTATCGACATATCATGGATGCCCTTTGCTTTAAATTTCGAGCAAGATAATTTACTACCAGTCACTCCTAAAATCCCAAAAATATCGAAAGATAGGTTTCGCCAGTCCATTATTCTATCAAAATCGAATAAATCGATTTTTGGCAGCATGTATAATGTCGTTCATAATGCAATTACAGTGAATAAGTAAGTTTGATATAAACTATTTATTTTGTACTTTTTTTTTACACATGTACAATGTGTGTATACTTTGTATTTTCAATTTTTTAATTTTTGAGCAAATTATGACAATTTTTTATACTTCATAATCAAGGTTGGCATTGTACTTAAAAAAAGTATCTCAAATATATTAATATTATTTTACTCGGTTATTATTTTATCGAATTGCAAACGACTTTCACCCTCACGCAAAATAATAATAACGACAACAATTTAAAGTCCATTATTGTCCATTTCGTAAAAACTTTTCACGTAGGTTAGACCTTTGACTTTTAAATCGTTACAAACTTTTTCCAAATAAATTTGTTATACCGTATCCCTCGAATATTAGTCATTATTATTTTGTTTATTAAATATGTTTAAGACTTTTGGTTATTGAATATACGGATAAGCGTTAAAAATAATAGGTATGCAAAATCAATATCTAAATCATAATTCGATAAGTGACAATATTATTATGATTCATCGCGTTAGTTTATTTATTTGAAGATTCATAAATCATATTTGTATAGATTGTACGATTTCTTAATAGAATATCGATACACCAAGTAATTGCCGAAGTAGAGAAAGCCATCATAACCTTAGAAGAATATTTTGATAAAATAAACGTTGAAATGACTAAGAAACTTGATGAAATTGAAATCGAAACTGAAAACATCGAGCTCGAAATTAATAGACAACTTCAAAACGTCGAAACCTATAAGTGTGTATGCACCTAATATTCTTTATATTCTTATTTTATTTTAGTTCATTCAAAACTAGATAAATAATTTATCTAATTATTAGTCAACTCTACTAACTGTGTATAAATGTATAAAATAGGCTACATCCGAATTACGTGCCAAAAAAAAAAAAAAATGTTGGTTGACAACCGAATTGCGTGTGCCTATTTTTCGGAATAGGTCCGAATTGCGTGCGCGTATTTTTCGTGACATCGAACTACACGCATACAAGTTTGAATAGACGACCGATTTTCGTAGATTATTTTAAAGTAAAAATAATAAAAGTAAATATAGTAAAATAAAAATATTATTTTATTATATTTACTATTTTATTATTTTTTTTATTTTTTTTTTTTATTATATTATATTATTATTTTTATTATAATAAATATAGTATATAATATATATATTATATATAGTATATATTTTTTTAGTAAATATAATTATTATTCTTATATCATTATTATATATACATTATAATTGTGGAGACTTCCACCCTTTGTTAATATTTGATTATTTATTATAACTTTATCACGTATATCATTATTCTTTGGTGTTATTATTCCAATCCGGACACGCAACTCGATTCTGTCGCGAAAAAACTGCGCGCGCAATTTATCCTAAATACCTACTGATATTCGCACACAATTCGAAAACGCCGATAATATATATATATACTATATACATATTATATAATGTATCATATTCGTATACTTATTAACTTTATAATATACTATTAAATTATCTATATTTATCAAAAAGTATGTGCCTATTACTTATTAGTAGGGAACGGATTTAAATGTAAATGCATTTTTTTCTGAATTTCCGAAAATATTGCTTTTAAAATACAAAATTAATTTCATACATCAAAGAATTAAAAAATGTAACTTTTATTTTGTATTAATAAAACTTTTTTGCTTTTTAGAGCATTTCTTTGACATTTTTAGTGCATTTTTATGTTTTAAGTCATTTTTATAAATTAATGGATAAAGTTCAATAAAAATGTAGTTAACATTCATTCTATAAGAATTAAATTAATGTCGTACTTCTATTTTTATTATTTATTATATTTTTATCAATCAGATAAATGTGATGCCAGATGAAATTATTGTTGGTACGTATCGACATTTAGGTAAATATAATGATACAATTAATTAATATTTAAGAATAAAAATTTATATTTTCAAACAAATTTTTTCATTGTTAAAAATTATTTCAAGAGAATATTTTAGTGCATTTAAAAAAAAAAATTTGTTATGTGTGCATTAAATCGTATTTTTTTAAAGCGTTTTTCTTGATTTTAGAGAATTTAAAACCGTTTTCTACTTATTAATAAGTAACGATAAGTATTATTATCAATGATAATTAGTGAGTGATGACGCTCTAACGCAATCTATGTATTATATTAAAATAACAAATCCTGAAACGACAAAGACGGTTGCAGTTGTATAAAAATCATAGTAGAGTTAGGTACTTAAGTCTTTAGTAATGTTAAAATTTAAAACAACCATAATACTTCTAATCATAACCTTGAATGGTAGTAATATACTAATATATTATGTAACTTATCTTAATCATGGTTCGCATGAAATATGTTAATATTAATATATACTTATATGGGAGACTAAGATTTAGACTTACGAGAATACAAAAAAAAAATTTTAATGTGAAAATATGATTGAATTAAGTTTAAATTTAGGTCACGGGACTAAACTCGATCTGCTCAAGTTTTGCGTGTAATACATAATACATGTATTCATTGTATTGCCTAAATATGTTAATATTATACATATAGGACAAACGTCTTGGTGGCCGGCGTTAACAAGTTAACCAAACGCATACCGGCTGAAAAATATGAGAAATTCATAAAAAAAAAATTGATGTCGACTTCAATTTACCTGAACGATATTCAATTCAAAATAATCGATGCCATCAACGAGCAGCAAATGCTACACGAAAGTTTTATGACTTCGAAACATATACGAAACACGGTATTTGAAGCGGACATGCATAACGTCAGGATAATGAACAAAAAACTATTAAAGGAACAAATCGAAATAAAAGAGAAGAATAAAAAACTTAAACATCACCTAGGTATGCATATAATATTTTATATTGAGAATAGGGCTAAAAATTGGTAATAGAAAACTAGAAATTCTTACAGTTTTAAATTAATTAAAGAGTGCCATTGGAAAATATTTCATTTAATATGTATATAAACAAAATGCAATGATTTAATTCAATATTAAGTACATTTATTATATTTAATCTTTATATAATTTATTACCTTTTTATTACGATATTAAATGTTTTTGTATTCAGTTATTTAACTTTATGAGGAATATTTATGCCCATATTTTGTAATACTTTTCCACGTCAATTAATTTTTTTTTTTCAACTAATTTTGATGTCTAATATGTTATAATGATAATTGCAATGGATAAGTACTAGTTTTGAAATCATAAACAATATTTCGAAATATTATTAGTTATTATAGTTTGAGTATGTTTGTAGTCAAAAATCATCTTAATAACAGACGGTGCTCAAGTTAATAACAAATTTTGAACTAGGTAGATAAAATAGATTATTGTACTTAAATGTGCGTAATAAATATTCTGACAACCCAACATAAAATTTTAATCTTGGAAAACTAAAGCAAATTAATCTAATGGATGAAATAAATCAATATTGTAAATTTCTATCATATTCCATATACCTAGCCACCTAGATACAACAAATAAAATTATGACTTTGTTAATAACAACAAATATAGTTTTTACTTCGAGTATAAAGAAATAAATAGTATATACATACTAATAAGTAAAACAATGTATTATGTATTTTAATAAGTTTGAAATCCCTCGTGATTCGTGAATTTTTTAGAACTATAACAAAATAATCAACACCATTATTTATCATTAAATGAAAAATTTCAATCAGATTTGAAATTCAAATGTTAATAAAAAAAAAAAAAATATGCTTAGGTATATAATTTACATATTTTTTTAGTTTTTAGTTTTAATATTTTATTATTTTTTTATTCATCAAAAAGATTATGAGTCACTCTAAACATATTTGTGTGGGGACTCGTGATTAAAAAAAAGGGTACCACACGATTGCGTACGATGTATCTTTTTGAGAACACGATTGCGTACGTTAAACTATTAACTTTAATATTCACCCCAAAGTCAAACGATTGTTGCAAACGATTTACTGTGCAAGGTTGCCAAATTGTTTTTATTTGTGATCAGTAAAATTTAAATATTGGAAAAATGACTTAAGTTATGGTACCACTTAAAAATCTCAATTTTCGAAAAATACCTATGTTATAATATAGTATACAAATTAAAATAATTAAAAATAATAAAATGTTAAAATAATATAATAATAATAATAATAATATCTATGTTATGGTACCACTTTTTTTTAAAAATTTTTTGACAATCTCAAAGTCGATCATATTAGAATTTATTTTTAGGGCCACGCGCTCTATGTGTTTCTTAATAATAGTCGATCAATAAGTCGATTAATAAGTCGATCCTCAAAGGTGAAGTATATTTTTAGTAGATCGTGACCAATAAAAGTATGGCCACCCCTGTTCTATAAGTTCAAAACAAATGGCAATAGTGCTTCAAAGTTGCAGATAAAAATCGTACACAATCGTAAATATTTAATGTTCACGATTGCGTATATCGATAAGGACCGTACGCAATCGTGTTTTACCGAAAACAAAATCAATAAATAGATAATACCTACAATTTATTAATAATTTCAATACTTTTCTTTTATAATTAAGACATTAAATTTAGGTAATTAAATATTTATTTATTTCTTATATATATTATTTTATTGTATTAATTTATAATGTAACAATACTAATATTAAAAGTAAAAAATCAATAGATTATCAGCACACAATAATATCAACCAAAAAATATATGCAAATACGTGAAATTCTTTGGTTTCTAATAATAATTTATGATTCTGATAAATCTGATAAAATGTATTGAAATACTATTAATATCGCGGTTGATTTCCATAATTTAAGATTTATTTTTAAATTTATATTTAGGTGTTGTTCGTCAAGATTATTTGAAGAAAAAATATCATTTGGAAAAGTTTGAACTTAATTTAGGTTTACCATCGTTGAACGCAGAAATTAAACATTTTAAAAATAAATTACTGAGAATAACGTCTATTACTCAAAAGGTAATTATCACTTATATGCAATATTCATTTTATAATAAATGTTATAAAACATAAAAATGTGTAAAACATAGATACATTATTTATTTCTATAAACTATATACCTAAATTATAAATATAAAGACAATAATATAGAGAATTCACGAATATCTATTATGATAGCGTAACGTATGATTATAAAAGCAAAAATTATTATTATTTAATTTATTTGGTAATCTATTCTACAATATTTAGATAACTTTAGAAGTAGAGAATAATGATAAAGACCACGATGATGATGATGATAACGAAACAATATACAATGAAGAAACTGAAGTAAGTAAATATTGTATGGAATTTAAAAAATATAATTAAGGTATTAAAAATAAAATTATACCTAGATTAGCAATTGAAAATAAAAACCGATATTGTTTTTGACCGATAGGAAATAAATATTCAAATAATTAAAATATAATGTATAAACAATAATTTTTTACAGAACAGCCAATTTGAATTAAAAAAAAATCACAACATTTTGATATTTGTTATTATATTACAATATAATAAAAGTTTATTATTTTTTAGGATGATCAAATCAATCATTATCTTGAAGTTAAAAGGTCTATCGAAAAGACAGAAAAGTATATTAAAACAATGAAACTGAAATTAGATCGACAAAATAAACTTGTGAAAAATTGTTTGAAAAAAAATAAATTGTTATAACCCAAACCTTATTGTGTTATTACATATTGAGTTGAATGTATTACTATTTGTGTATTTTAAATTCTGAGTGATGAATGTATTGATTTCACAATTTTGAGTGTTTTTTTTTCTGTCTGACATCAATTTTTGGGCAGTAAAATTTGTTTAAAAATAGTTGAAGTTTCTGATAGAAAAATAGACCTAGATGGTACAATAAAATAGTAAACAATTTTGAATTTTTTTTTGAATCAGGAAAACAAAAAAAAAATTAAAGAAAAATGAGAATTTTTGTGCAATTCCAATTTTCTTTTTTTTTTTAGTAATACTCAAAATCAAATAACCATAAATAGGTATTTGAAATTTTCAATAAAATTATGATAACAATCATTTTTTATTTACGAAGATATTGTCAAAACACTTCTATTTCTTTTTGTGTTATTTAAAGGGATGACTCATTTTCAATTTTTATTAGTTTATTTTTATGTCGATTAGAAATTATTAACTGAATAGAAATGTTTGAGAATTTAATATAAAACGTACTAATATACCATCTTGTTTAATTTAATCTAAAATGTGTGTATTGTAATTGCTGTACTGAATTTAATATCAAACAAAATATACAAGTTTATAAAAATATTAATTTTATTAATTTATGGCATTTTTTGTATAATTTAATGTCTGAAAATAAAAAACTGATAGAGGGGTGTAATACTGTAATATAAAGGAAAACAATTTAAAATGTTAAACAATTTTAGAAAAGCATGTTTTTAATTTTTTTAAATAATCAGTGTTTTTGATAAAATAATCACCCTGGAAATAAGCGTATTTTAAAAAACGGTATCCTAGTACCTACTTCAATAAAGTCAATGTATTTATATAATGTATGACTAATGTTTTTTGTCGAGTTTTTTTATATAACTAAGTATTTTGTTTATAATTCTTTTTTCTATTCAATAATGTGTACATCATAAAATAAATCATGCACTTTGGTATATTATTAATCTTATGCAACTTTTCAAATGTACTGACAACACCAATATCGAGTATAAAAAATGAAAATAAATATTATAATCCAAATCACCAATACAATATATCATGGGACTATGATCAGCTAGTAAGTCACTTAGTTAACGTATTGCGTTCATTAAGTTATTATGAAACTAAAATACTTATTAAAATTCAATGTATCAATAATACCTAAATAGTCAAATTATAATTAGTAAGAAAAAAATTCCAATCAATAAAAATAGATACCTCTTATAACAATTTTACTCTTATACATCCGATCGAGACAAGTCTAAGTAACAATGACAATATATTGTATGATGTAAAAAACATTTTATGATATATGAAATATCGAGGGATATGAAGGAGGAAGGGTACAAAATATTATTTATGTAGTATATAATTATTTTATTTGATCATATCTACTTATTGTCTAAATAAACTGTACTTAATATCTAAAAATTATAAATACCATCACTATTTTTTTCATACATACATATAATCGTGTAAAATTCCACAGTGTTTTTATTTTGTTTTAATCATCACAAAAATCAACCAAACATAATAAATATATAAGTAAATATGCATTATTTTATTATAACATTTTATATGACTATATTGGATTATATTACAGAATAAACCGGTTATGACATTACAAAATTTATATGATTTCAAGATGACGTCCATATGGGCTTTTTTAATAGGCATGTTGACGGCATTTGGATTTATGTTTATTTTTTGGTTTATAATTTACAAAGGAATATCCATAGATACAATTGATGACAACAAATTAAAAACCCAAAAACCTACCACGATTTGCTCTTGCTTAAATCGTTACTGTTGCAAAGATAAACCACAAGAATTAAAAAAATGCCCAGCCATACGACATAAATATCCATTATTTTCCTACAAACGATCACCGAAATTCATAGCATAATACTTAATGTAACATTAAAATACTATACTTAAGTGAGTTTAATATTTTACAATACAACCCTAAACTATTAGTTACGTTGTGACTTGTGAAATCAAGAAAAAATATGTTATTGAAAAATATTTATTTACATTAAGTACTAACAAAACTTTAATGTATATTATAGAACATATTGTATAATTATCGTGATTCATAAATAATATATTAAAAATCAATTATTAACTATTTACTGCAGTGATGAACTATTTTAAAAGCCAATAAAATGTTTAAAGTAGTTTTTTGATAGTTTTGATTACATAATGTGTTTAAGTATGGTTATCAGAGCTAAAAGCTAGGGTTCAATAAGACTAGCCCGAGCCAGGGGCACAAAAGCTAAAATAAAATATGCTTATGTTATTGTTAATAAATTTTATATTAATTATATACATTTTATTAAGATTTTAAGAATACGCGCAAAATAGTTATACCATAAACTCGTATTAATATAAATCATCTATAGATAAATTTAAAGCTATTTCAGATAGATTACCATTCGATAATACATAATATAAGTATATAGGTATTTAATATTATGCAAATATTACAAAATGCTTACTATATAAAATATATGAAGTTATAATAATACGCAGAGTGATAGTGTTATGTGAACACGTGGTATCTGATAGGTAACAATTATAACGTTGTCTATCTCTGACATGGTGTAACGGTGACATATTAATACCGAACGGAGGAATAAGAGAGGGTTAAGATGTAAATAATAATTAATATTAGACAAAACACTTAGTTATACTGAGATATACATAGTTGTTCTGAGTACAACTTGGTATGTACTGAAGTAATGCAATTAAATATTTATAAAATATATTTTATTTTACCTATGACTTGATATTTATACATATAGCAAGCGATGAAATGAAAAAACTTCGAAACACGAAAATATAGTAGATCCAGGGATTAACCCTTTGTAGACCAACCATAAATAGTGATAAAAATTTAATTTTTTTTTTTACACAATTATAATGTATTATTTTTTTGATGAATTAAAAAAGTTATAAAATTTCTAATTGGAGGTTTTTTAATATATTTTTATATTTTTGAGGAGTGGGACAAATAAGTCTCATTGGCCATTTAAGCGGTATACTTAAAAGTCCCTATGGTCCATTACAGCACTACTATTTTTTTATTTCCAATGATAAATAAATAATAATTAATTTAAATATAAAAATATAACAACCATGTAAAATAATAGTATAATTCATTTTTAAAATTAATAACAATATAAAGAAAATAGTATCAAAAAATAAATGGTCATTTTTTTTACATTGTAAATTCTAGTTAGAACATGTAATAGTTACTATGTTTAATATTATAAATTTATAACTCATAATTTATCATATAAATGATCTTATGATCTCTCGATCATTTAATTTAATAAATTAATTCATTTTACAATAAAAAAATAAACGAGTTAATTTAAATAACAAACATGCAGACTCAATACTCAAGAACGAAAAGAATAAAATATAAACAAAAAACTTGGCGTGCGAGTGCGTGACTATAAAAATATTCATCACCTTTATAACTGTCACAGTAGACCATAGCATTGGTTAAACATACATATAGTATATACGTATGTTTAATCAATGATCATAGGGACTTCGAAGTCCGCTGCAATTATTGTCAATAAAAACATATTTATACACAATAATAATATTATTCAATAGTACATTCTGTTTCTCGGGTTATAATGAAAATAATAATAATAAAACTCAATGCTTATCTATAGTGGTTCACGCTGTGGCTATTTATATAAATATTGACATTTATTTTATGGGCCAAACTATAATTATTTTATTAAGTGATATATATTAAACGCTATCTATTGATTTCACAGAAAATGTTCGGGAATGATATCATTAGAAATGATGTGACTTATAAGTCTCTATGGTCAGATAGTACTTAATTTATTTTATCTATGTTTAAATGGATAAAATGTACAGAGGACTCAAAAGTCCCGTTTGACCAAAGAAAATAATAAAAATAAATAATTATTATCATAGTTATTCCTTCAAAGAAATTATAGAAATATTCTGCAGCGAATTTTATTATTGTCACCATACAAAATTAAACGAATTTACTTATATTAATAAAAGATATAATCTAAGTTTTAATAAAATAATTATACACAAGAATGAAAATATTTAGTAGGTTTTTAAGAAATCGTTGTTACTATTTGTTGTTTTTTTTTTTTTTTAATCAAATTTGAATTTAAGTAATATTATAAAACCAAGTAAAATAATTGTCTGTGTGTGTATGAAGAGGAGGGGTTAAAAATTTACAAATGTTAATAATTATCAGATTTTTAAAGTTCCGATACAACAGTGTCGTATGAATAGTTTTTTTCTAACGAATACCGCATAGTTGAATGAATTATTTAACTTCTAACCATCATGCTGCATTTCCAATGTGTATAGCGTGGTACTAGTGTACTACCTATTAATATTTTTCCTATCTGATGAAAATTGTAATCATCTTTTCTATTCTTTATAAAAAAAAACCTCACTATATAAATTGTTATACTAAAATTTTAAGTAAACAAACCGTCATTTACTACACCAGCTATTTAAAGGTAATAGATATTAATTTCATATTATTATAATAATATATCGTATCAAGATTAATATGTTTGTGGTATAAATAGACTAAGAATACATCAAAATTCAACAATTTTCTTTCTAGTTGAGTCTTATAATAATTTATACCAAAGACTAATAAAGAAATTCAATACAAAATATATATTTTATTTTATAATTTTATATATGATACTATAAAATAGTGATGGTTTACTAAATTAAATACCTATACTTATGAGTTTATGACTCATAAGACTTCGCTACTTCAATAAGCACATGTACATTTTTATTCACACTAAATAGTAAAAATGTAAAAAAAAACTATTTATTGTAATTAAAAATAATTCAATACATAATAAGAAAAATAAAGTTTATGTAGTAGATAATACTTAGATTGGAATAAATGAACATCCTAGTATTTTTAAATATTTTAATTGATTTATTTCATTATTTATAAGTTATGATTTTGTGATTTAATTAATGATAACTGGACAACTAGTGTGTGGTTCTAAACGATGATATGGACAAATTTGTGTGCTATTAATACAAAATATCAATAGTGTGTGCGATATTGACCTATTTAATTTTGGGAAAACTGTGCGGGAATCGATGTATAAAAGTGTATGGATTTGAACTAAAACCTTTTTTTTTTTTTAAGTGTGTGGTTATAATGACTGGTAGTTTAAATGTGTCAGAGTTATTTGAATTTTAAGTCCAGTGTTAAAAACAGGAGTATAATTTAAATGTGTATAAATTGATCGATCGTTTATTTAGTAATTTTAATTTTATTATACATAATATGTAATATATTATAATGATATTATAAAATACCAATTTATTGTTAATTACTATTTAAGCAGTTTAATAAATATCTACTATTATTTAAAAATTAAAAACCATAAGACACATAATGTAAAGCACGAATTATTTAACCCATCTCATGGCCCATGGGTTAGAGGGCTGAATAATTAATAATACAATAACATAATTGTACATTATGTTGGCATAAGGATTAAGCAATATTTTTCATGATAATAAATAATAATACACAATTCAACCCAAGAGAGGATTAAAATTTTTTGCAATTACTAGTAGACCACAATAATTTTGCAGCTTATTAAACACATTGACATAATATTCTCTCTAAATATACTAATCAGTTATTTCATTCATTATATAGTACAAAAGTCTGCAGTGTATTAATACGTCGGTCGATTACAAATTTTATCAATACTTGTAAACAATAAAATTAAGATAATAAAATAAAGATAATAAAATAAATAATAATATGTTTCAATGTTTGACAAGTCATGTTTATCGTTAATAACATAATAGGTATTTAAGTAATTTATTATTAATCATGCAGTCAAAGCATAGTCGCCGACGATAAAGCGGCATAAACCATTTTCAGATTGGGACAAGTACATAGTTTTGCTAAAAATAGTCAAAAACAACAATATCAAATAATGATCCGCCACCAACTATTTTTAACACATTTTGAAATTCATATCGTCTGATTGTTTATAATATAATATCTATTATAAAATAACAAAATTATCTCTTGTCGAAAATCTTAAACTGAGAACTAGTATAATATATTGGTTCTACACTACTACCAATAGTGTACACCGCTTCAAAGTAAGCGGCATCCGATATACATAGAAATTAAAAAAAAATTATTAATATTTTACTTTCATCCGAGAGTATGGTATAGCATAATATATAATATATTTAATAAGTGGTTATATAGGCATAATATAGCATTGATTAAAGTTTAAATAGTCTTTATTAAAAACTATTGTTAACTATGTATAATATTGTCATAGTTTCATCAAACATATCCAGGACAGATAGAAAAATAATTAGCAAATTAAACTAGACTAAGATGATTATTAAATCATATTAGGTATTAAAAAAGAGACATATTTCCACACATTAAGCAATGCAAAAAAATTTGTATTTATTGTTTATAATTTATATAATAAACGAAATTTATTTTCAAGACATCGGTACCTACACCAAATCAAAAACCTGTGATAATTCTGGTTTTCAAACATGTATGGAAACTCTAGTAAATTATTATAATATATTGACCATAGTTATACAATTAAATTTAACAATTTTATTATTAAAAAAAAAAAAAAAATGAATATTTATTGGAGTCAAACTAAAAACCACTCGGAAACCGCCGACTGATAGGTGTCCTGGCGTCCGTTTTGGAAAATGAGGACCTTATTCTGTGAGTCTCGTCTAGTCCATCTAGGAGAATAGTTATCTTTTTTTTTTTAACCGGTGTGTGGTAAAGTGGAGATATCGCTACGTAGCAGATAAAAGGTTACAATAAAAATTAGATTATATTATATAATATTATACATAAATGATTGATGTATTATGTGACATAACTTATGTCTATTATAAATGTATATAAAATACTGAATATTAAATAGTAAATTGTATATTAAAGTAATATTGTTATATTAAATAGTTGGTAGGTGCGTTATTCCAGTGTTGTTTTTTAAAAGTTTGGCAGGCTAATATCTAGATACCGAGAATAGCAAGAACAGTTCATTATGGACTGCTACCATAATATCGATAAATGCGTTCTCGGAGTTGGCAAAGTACCTAGTACCTACTACTAAAATAGTAAGACCAATTTGTACAGGAAAGCAAATTTAGTATTTACTATTTAAACGAATTTCAAACGTCATTCAAAACTGAAATAGCTCACTTCCGGTTCCGATTTCTCAATCATGTAACACAATGTACTATATTTTCCTATTATGAGGTATACGTATAGAATAGTATAGATTATACCGTATAACCATTAAAACGTCTGTAACCCTTTTGTAATATATTATTCGTTAGTATATTTTAATTATTATATAGTTAAATTTAAGCCCTCCATCAACCCGACCGTCAATTTTCCCGTAAAATATTTTGTTTCAGTGAGAATCTTTAATTAATCAATGTTAATACTTTAACAGTAGCATATTGAACAATTTAAACTTCACACTCTTTTGTAACACAATTATTTAAAAAATACGATATATTAATATTGCATTATACATTTCAAATAGAAATTGTATACTCCGATACGTGAAAATAGTGAAATCAATCTATATAATTTGTATGTTTAATGTTTAAACTATATTGTTCTGTGTAAAAAGCTAAATTTTATAGCAAGTCTTGAGACAAGATTATTTTTGTCGGTTTATTATTATTTATTATTATGGTATTTTCTGGTCATGCAAGACGTGTACAGTTGTGGTATTTTGAATTTTGGAATCGTAGTTCGTCATAATAGTCGTATTTATATACTATAATAATTAATAATGATCATTGTTTTGTTGTACATAGTAGGTACATGGTGTGTTGTATAATAAAAATTGAGATTATTTGAACCGGTCGTTTGGAGGAGGTGCTTATAGTTTATGAACCTGTCAGCGCGCGGAAAACCGAAAGATGACGATGACAACAAATCAAACGGGACACGGTTGTCCCCTCCATCTATGTCGTTGCCTCATCACCAGAGCTCGCCTTGTGTATTCGTTCATTTCATTGTGTTCACTTTCAGAGCTCAAATTTCAGTCATCACTCTTTAATCTTCATTTATTCATTAGTCTTTTGGGATTTGGCGTATTTCTATTAATTCTATTCGCGACTCGCGTGTGATTTAACATTTTTGTGTGCCTAGTGTTTAGTGTCAACAAGATTTGGAAGTTACTATTATAGTCTACTACTGTCTATTTACTAATCAGACCGAACATTGAATAGCGAGTTTTAAACGACCAGTGACTTCATAATTTTTTGTGAGTATATCCGCACTTAAATGAGTATAATACCTTTATGTAGAAAGAGGAGCTTCTGTGGATTATATATTACAGATATTTTTTTTTATTTTTTTTTATCATTTATTTAAATATATTTATTTATATTTACAATATAAATAAAATTATAATTTATAAATGAATATGAATTCTTCAAAAATTAAGTTATAATAAGAATTTAACTCTTTAAATTAAATAATTGTACTTAATGAATATATCAGTAAAACTATATCTTTTTAATTTCCTAATGATCGAAGTAAGCTATGTCTGCAGTTTGTGTATTAGTATTCGATCGATTTTTTTTTACTCGTTTTTCTATAGAATTATATAGGAATTGTAAATTAAAATTTTTTATGTGTGGTTTTGATGTGTTGTCCATACATCGATGATAATAATAATAATATTTAATTTACTAACATGGATAATAAGTATTGTACTTTTAAGAGCTATTTCTTTCTATTTTTATTGGTATCTTAAATTCCAAAATGTGTCCATCTGTCACAATTCTGGTTATTCTATTACTCAGTAACTGAATGTACGTTGATTATAATCATAATAGAGTAACATGATATATACTTTTTTTTTAAATTGTGAATAAATTCGATTTTTCATCATTCATCACAGTCATGATTACGACGTATAATCCTATCCCGAGCCTATCCCTAGGTTAAAAAGTCCGGCGTACAAATAATTTGTACGTACTACAATATAAATATAATAATAATATGATATTGTCTATAAATGCATAAATACTAGTAAAAACATCGTGAAAGTGCACAATTCTATAGTAATAAACACGATAAAGAGCAGACATTAATAAAAATTCCCCGGACAATAATATAATTTATTGTAATAAACGTCATCTGTACGGTTGGTAATTTCCCACTAATACTTAGTAATAACACTAATAACTAATAATAATATTGTAAATAAAATTGTCCTCTATGGCTCTCTCAGTCATTCGTATAAAGTATAAACATGGATCAGCTACTACATTTTAAAATGTATAAATGTTTTAATTGAAACGAGTAAGTTTTTTCATTTAAATATTATTGCGTACAATGTGATTTAAAAAAATTCGTTGTTTTTTGATTATTACAAATAACAACACATTATTTGTGATTCACAATTATTTTTTAATTGCGAAAATTCGTGTAAGTAACAGAAAGGGAGACTATCAAATGATAGAACCCTTCTAACAGAAGTTATTAATTATTTATAACAATGTTTTAAGAGATCATAACATCAATTTATCTTTTTTTTAATTATTAAAAGATATTTACAATATGTGTTCTTGAAAACAATAAGTAGGTTAAAAGTATTTATAATTTTTCAGCACATGATTAATTTCTGTAAAAAATTGTTGACTAACAATACTTCAAAATATTTTTATTTATTTTTTTAAGATCAAATCTTTAGATCGATTACGTTTTAGCCGACGTTTATATTTAAATGTTGAAGTGGGTTGTTCGGTAATGTGATTGTTGAACGATTTGATTATCACTAAGATTTTTAAAAGGGTCAAATATTAATTTTGAAAATTACTTGCATAAAGTTTTAATGGCAATGATTAAAAAAATAAAAATGTATAAATTACATTTTAATTAATTATAGTTATTAAATTTTTATTGATTTTTTATTTCAAGTTGTTTTGATATTGGACAATATCTCTTTTTCTTTTATTATTTTATTTATGTCCACGAGTAATTTTGATCTTGATAATTGTAGTAAATTATCCATTTGATATTAGATATTATTACTGCCTGTGGGTTATCTATTAATCGAAATGTATTATGAAAGTGTTTGATACAATTAAAACAACTATAATATATAAGTGCCTTATAGATCAAAAGTTTTAATGTCGGTTTTCTTAGAAAAAAGTGATTTCTTTCGTGATTAAATCAAATTTGGGAGAACGTGAAAAATTATTATCTGATTCTCGAGTGGATATTTTAATTTTTTCCTTTGAAGGCAAAATTTTACTTTACCACGTGCGTGATAAGTTTATTTTCTCTTTGCAAATTAGTTAGAAGTTTATTTAAACTTTAAATTACATCTGCAAGTAATTACCAAAATTTTAAAGTTTTTATTTCTGGAATTTCAACTTTTCGTTTATGAGTAAATTATTTATTTTTTTAATGAAGATAAAAAAATTGTTCTAAAACTACCTTCAACTATCGTACTTCAGTTTTATACATAATAGCACTGTATTGAAAACAGTGGCGGCTCGTGGATGCTAGTGGTGGGAGTGCGACTTTAATTGCCGCTATAATCATAGATATAACAAATTTTCAAATTAAATAAAGAAGAAAAATTAACATTTATTAAATTATGAACACTATTTGACATGTTGTCTGTTGAACTATTTTAACTAATTAAAATAAAAAAGAATAACATTTTTACTTATAAGTTATAAGACTATGACAACAATCCGCTTCTTACTAGTCGCAGGTCGCAGTATAAAATAGAAATGAAAATAATAATATGAAATAAATAAATAATATATTATATTACGCGTATTTAAGACCGCAGTTGAAATGTACACGCATGCAAAAATGTTTATAAATAATAATTGACAATAACAATAGCGATTAGCAACCGACAATGACGAACATGCACACAGTTAATTTTAAAAATAAATTACCCATTATAGCATTATACTAATATATTTATTGTATGGACGACGCTGCCGGTCGTCTAGACACTGCTCGACGCTCGTGTGTGCATGCGTACCCATATTATGCTCCTGGTATCTGAGGGAAATAAATTTAATGTTTGTAGTTCGTAAACGACAAAATATTACTAGAAGTTCAAAGATTGCAGTTTCAATAAAAATTTTTTTTGGAAGTATAAAATAAAGAATATAAATTTTATAATAAATTTTATTTTAAATAATTTTAGTAGGGGTGCGATCGTCCTGTCGTCCAAGCCACGAGCCGCCACTGATTGAAAACTACATAGTTTGGAAAAAAATTCTTTAAATTTTCGGTAATTTATATCTCTGGCCTTGATAAAATCAACGATTTTAATTGTTTTGTTCATTCATCGCTAAAATCATTTGGAAATGTACATGATAAATTTTTGTGGTGTATCAAGCAATGGAAATTAGCTAGTATTTCAATTTTATATTTTATATTTTATAAGAGAAACTAGACCAAATTTATTTGCAATGATTCAAAGTTATCTGTACATATAGAAATAAACTTTTGACAATTTATTCTTTATTATTCAATAATGTAAACATTGTTTCAAAATAACTCACGTCGTGAGTTTGACCTTTTATTAGCACGACATATAAAATATAAATAATCTTTTGAATATTATTAATTGAAAAATAGAGCTAGCTAATGTTAACTAATGAATTTAATGGTAAAGAAAAAAAACCGACAGTTTACTAATTCATTGATTATTGAATATAATACTTTAATTCTAAGAATGATATTCAGCCCTACAAACACATTTAGTATTGAATAACTGCAGATTTAAAACTTGGTTACGTATTTCTTTAAGATTTGATTTAGATTTACAACTATTTTAATACAATCTCATAAGTTCAGCATCCGAAAATGGTTTCATACGTTTGGCTTACAAATTTGTTACTTTGTAAGATGTTTTTGTTGCAAGTTTGTTTTTTTTTTTAATTCAATTAGTTTTTCTTGTTTTTTTTTTTTTTGGTAAGAGGGGTAAATTTAAAAAAATTCAGTGTGTTGAGTTCTATAGTAACAATATTTTATAGTAACAATTTATAAATTCTTTAATTTTTTTAGCCAAGGTTTGGAAATTTAATACAATGGTTTTCTCATACACATTTTTAATTGGAATTAAAAATTCTTAAAAATATATAAACACGATTTTTTTGTATAAACATTTGAATAATATTACGTATTTTAATGATGATACGGTCTTAATTATTCTGTTATAATTTTAAAGTATTTTTCGTAAAGACATACAACTTGTCTATTTTATGAATTTTACTACACGTAATACAATTTTAAAAATATGTTGAGTTATTTAAAGATATTATCTATTTATGTTAGATCCATATATTTACATTGTTTTACGGTATTTATAGTAAATAATTATTTATTCAAATTTAATAGTTATAATATAATATAAATATATATTGGATACCTATTTTAATTAAACACTAATCATATAATAAATGTGATATTTTCTGGAAAAATTAAATCAACATATAATAATACTAAAAATAAAATAAATTATTAATAGCATTGATTTTAGAATATAATTGACTAAAATAAGTTTAACATTATAGTCTTTTAGTTTATTCTTAAATCATAGTTATATCAGAAAAAAAACATAATGAAATATACTAAGTGATAAAGGCTGATAAACCATCACCGCTCAGAATCGTTTACTGTTTAGTTATAATATGTAATTGACAATAGTGATTCACTCAACACCTAATGTACAGCAAAGCACACCCACTCGGCTACCTTTTTAATTTTTATTCAAATTATTTGTGTTCTTTAAAAATTTAAAGACACCGTAAATTCCGCATTAAAAATGTCAATCCTTTTGAATAATAATAATAATTATTATTACTTTTGTATAAAATAAAAATTCAAGGTTAAGTAATTGATTGCAAAGTTTGGTTTTGGTAAAATTTTCAGATTTTCTTTTAAAACATTTTTTAGAAATTCATTTAAACTGTAAATTGTAGTTGTTGAGCGGTGATATAATAACTCATACAAATTTAGCGGTTGGCTATATCGACTTGCGGTGTTGGGACGTAGGGCTCTACCAGAAATGATTACGGTATTTTTTGTTGATTTTGAATTGTGTGTGTAAACATACTTACACACACAGATCTAATATTATATTAATTAATGGCCTTAATGCTGTAAACATATATAAAATATAGTTGTATAATTATTAAAGGGCGACCAAAGAGAAAAATAATATGTCAATAGCTACGACAGAATAATAAATATAATACTTGTCTATTATAAACGATAACAAATTATACATATACATATATATATATAAGTAATAATAATAATTTCCGAATGATCGGATTACGCATATTATACGTATATAACGAGAGGCACTAACCTCGTGGTTGCACTGACGATGAGATGGAGCTGATGATGGTTGATGATAATGCTGGGGCGGATGATGATCACACTTGACCAAGACACGAGTGCCGGACAAAAAGGTGGAGCAACGGCTCGATACGCCTCTCGTCCACGTAGAACGCCGAAGTCGGGTTACGCACAAACACCACGCGACACAAGAAATGCCGGTGCCGGACAAAAGGTGGGGCAAAGGCTCGACACGCAAGTCTACACCCGAACTGATCCGCAAAAATGCCGCTCAAAAGAGAGGAGCTACGACTCGATACACCATTAGTACACGTAAAACGCCTAAATCGGGTTACGCACAAACGCCACGCGACCAGGAATGTCGGTGTCGGATAAAAGGTGGGGTAAAGGCTCGACACGCAAGTTCACAAGCGAACGGATCCGCAAAAATGCCGGACGAAAAAACGGTGGAACTACACTTCGACATCCAACGACGACAAAAAGACAACAACACAAGGCTGGTCAACGGTCGAACTCGACGGAGTCGGTGATGGACGGACGGTAACGACAAGTCGGCGGCGATTACAGTATGACCGCCCGAAGGGGGGGGGCAATAACTGTACAGTGTATAATGCCCGGACTGTCACTCGCACCATCGTGAACTTAGGTTCGTCCGGAACGCGCGGAATATATTAGGTCTTGGTGTTTAAACAGACAACAGTAATAAACATCGTTAACAATTTTATTTGATTCGCGTTCATTAGCTAATTTCTGGTTGTAGAGTTTTAATATGTTAATCTTGTACGACTTGAAGGAGCATTAAATATTATATTCTGCCTCTTTAGAGAACTAAGTACAAATACTTAGATATATTTAACCATTGATATTAAATCTCTTGATTTATCCACAATTACATACGTTTCTTGGTTTTCCAAATTCATTATTTGTGCAGTAGGCCAGTTATATAATAGCCTCTGATATCTGTATTGTCTTTGTAACACAGATTTGGCAGATAGGCATTTTAATTCAAATTTAAAAGAAAATGTATTATTATTGTAAAATTGTACTAAATATTAGTTTAAATGAAACATTTTCTGTATTTCTAATGGATACCTTTCAAAAATAAATATTAAAATAGAAATTTTTCAATATTTAGTGTTGTGTGTTAGCTGGCTGATTCATTCTATTTTTCTGTTATTATACGAGTATGTCATTTAGGTATGTTATTATTTGTAAATAGGTGACACTTTTAATAATAAATCTATCATTATTACTTATTAGTGGTTGTTGATCAGTTACAATATTGCATTTGCAAGCAGTTACCTAGTGCTATCATGCATAGAAACTCTGGTTGAATTTGTAAAGCCCATATCAAGAATGTCGTGTCCTCGCAGATTGTGTATATTCACTATTATTTTTAAAATTAAAACCAATATAAATAGTAATTTTTTAATGTATAATAAACACCTATCTTGCATACTAATCATTAATCAAATATTTTATCTTATTATTTTTTTTATTGATTGTTTTACTGTACCTATAGTTTATGGTAGTTTTTATTAAACAATTCCTGTAGGTTTTGTAACCTTATTCATTAATTGCGCTTTAGTAACAATTGTATTTATTATATTAGTTAATTGTCTTAAACTCCACTTAAAAGTATTTGATTAATTATCATTGTTAACAATTTTTTCATATAATTTTATAAAATACTAAAATTATTTATACATTTTATTTTATTAACAAATAATTGTTTATTTATGAATATCATAGATGCAATAAACTAATATTATCATGCACATATTAACTATAACATTTTTTTATCTGATTTAAATCTATTATCTAATAAAAACATGTGATCAGTTTATTTTGGATGTGAAGCAATATAAAGCAACGTCTGTAGTTGCTACATTTGTTGGTGTCATCTTACCATCACTGATGATATTTTTAAATAGAATGATTTTATCATCTTCAATTATTATTAATTTATTGTTAATAACTATGCTATTTTTTTTTCTGTTAAATTAATCATTAACATTGGTGTTTGTAAAATTAAAAATATGTTGTAGAGATCAAGTTTTGTTTAGAATTTAAACATTGACATTAAATAGTATAAAATAAATAAAACAATTATATTTTATAGGGAATAAAAAATGGATACAACAAAAAATGAAATGGAATCATCTGGTAAGTATTTTGATTTCAGTTTCAAAAAAAAATTGTAACATTAATTTTTTATGAGAATTGTGTATAATTAAAATAAATAATATTTAACCTTTTGATTATATATGTTATATTTTTATTTTTTTTGTTTTGATTAATTTGAGAATTAAAATTATTAATTAAATGTAATTTGTAGTGTATTTTGAATTTTCATCATTAATAAGCATACAATGTGCTGTTATTTTCAGTCATTCTTTACTTTAATACTATAAAATTGTACTATGATATAAAACTAAATAGGATTTGGAAATCTAGTATTATTTTAATTTATTGATTAAATTTTTTTTAGATAAAATTGATAATGTAATGGACCAATCATCAGTAAACGTAGAAAATTCTTTACAAGAAAACAATATTTCTTCGGTAAATTTTTATTCTTAAATTTTATAATTATAAGTAATAACAAGGTATTATTTAGCAATTTTATTGTTTTTAAGAATTTCAAGTATTATTAAATACATTTTTAAAACCCTAATAACAATTGATTTTTATATAGGCAACAGATTTTAATATAAAAAAAAACAAAAACATTTACTTACTTTTATTGTGGTGAAGGATGTGAAAAAAAATTGAAATAATGAATTATATGTTTTCTGAGATTTAAAAATGTTGGTGGTAATGATTTGGTTACATGTTATTTGAGTACCGATTGATCAAACATTCCACCAAAACTATTAAGATGGTAGCATACTTCATACTATTTTCATTATCAGTGTTCAGTAATTTTTTAGAATTCAATTCTTGATGGTATCTTTAATATTTCATATTTTTAGTCCATGGATTTTTTCTGGATGTCTGTGCAAATTTTTTTCTTTAGTTAAATTTTTTACATGACCTTGGGCTTCAACAATGCATAGGGTTATATTTTGAGTTTCTTTATATTTTATCATATTATGAACTAAAAAACTAAGACTTAATTCTTGGTAATTGATTAAGTAACAAATGATTACAATACTGAGAATCCCCTATCTCTTAAAGATAATTTTGTGTGCCCCAGACTATTATAAAATATTTATACAAAAAAAAAATAATGTTAAAGCTATGTTAAGGAGTTAAAAAATATTATCCTAACTTAATTTATATACAATATACATATAGGAGACCGCCTCTATTCACTCATCAACACCTAGACCAAACCGCTGGGTCTAGAGACTTGAAATTTTATACAGAGGTTCCTTTAATAATTTAGGAGCGCACTAAGATCGGAATTTTCAAAATTCGACCTCATAGGGGTTTTTTAAAAGTTTATTTAGATTTTATGTATTTTTTTTCTACTGTTAATCGCTGTTTACTGATGTCAAGATATACGTCAATTATATAACTGGTATTAATAAAACCAGTTGCACGTAATTGGTGACCCATAATTGTAACACATGATAGGTACCAGTGGTGGACAGTCAAAGTCCAAAGATAATGTGAAATGGTGAAAACGTGCTGCATTCAAAAAACACGAGTAATGCCGTGTCGGGACAGCTAGTGGTTTAAAAATTGCTATTTAAGAAAAAAAGTTTTTTTTTATAAACCACTACTATTACCTTTTATTGTAATTTATTAGGAACATGGTATGGATAATGAAGAAAGGACGAAACGATATAAAAATTTACTTACACTATTAGAAAACAGTACTAAGTTATCTAATGCATTTGAAACCAGATTAAAAAAATGTAAACTTCAAATTATTAAGTAAGTTGTTTCAGTAAACTATTATTATAATTCTTTATGACTAGAAATTGGAATTAATCAAATAATAAAATTTTAACATCACTTAATAAATGACTTAATAATTAATAATCATATTAAAAAAATTTTATTCTTCAGTTGTTTTTTATTTATGTAAAAATACCAAGTAAATTATATTTTAATTTACAATGTTTGATTAGTTTAACATTTCATGTAAGACACTTAATACTCTTGTGGTTTTGCTAGATGAATTATCCTGATAATTTATATTATTGTACAAAAATAATTTATTACTATAAATTTGATCATTCATGTAGAAGCGAACTTGCAAAAGCTAATAAAGTTGATGAAAATGTATCAAGCGGTATTGAAAATGATTCAATCAATGGTTCAAATAATCAACCAATTGAAGTAAGTGTGTTCAAATTTTGAATGAATGTTGAATTATTATTGTATATCAAGTTAGAAAGTAGTCAATTTAGTTGTCTTAAGAACTATAACCATAAATTTTAATATTTATAATCATTAATTTATTTGTTCATCTGTATTATTAGCTAAGTTTAAAATTATAAATCAATTTTCTTGATTTATTTTGTTTAAAAATTGTATTCCAAGATTGAATTAAAAAAAAAATTGGGCATTATCTTATATTATGTTCTAAAATTCTTCAAATAATGGAAATTCCATTGTTTAAATGTTTAAATACTATGTATTGTAGTATATCAATCAATATACTACGTAATTTTGTTTTGTTCCTGTTTTGAAAAAAATAAAAATTTATCCTATTTTATATTTTTGCTGTTTTATTAGTACTTACTTAGCTATCAACTGTAAGTCCTTGATTAATAATTATTACTGATATTTAGAGTGAAGAATACGAGAACTATTATTTAAAGTTATTTCAACAACCAAAATTATTTAAAGGAACACTTAAAAATTACCAGAAAGAAGGTCTTTTGTGGATAAGAGTATGTATTTTAATTTATATACTAGTTTAATTTGTGGATAAAATAAGTTAAGAATCATACTATTAAAACTAAAGTTTAAAACATTTTAATTTGTTGAGTTAATTTATTATTTTAACTTATTTGTTTATCTGCTCACATAAAAATAATATTATATAAAATGGAATATTCTTTCCTTATAACTATTATGTGTAAAATTTGAATATTTATTTCTTCATTAGGTATTATTTATATATTAGATATATATTTAATAACATTTTTTTTTTTAAGACTTTGTTTGAAAATGGATTGAACGGTATCTTAGCTGATGATATGGGGCTTGGTAAGACTATACAAACTATAGCTTTCTACTGTTTCCTTTTAGAAATGGGAATAAGAGGACCATTTCTTATTATTACTCCATTGTCTACAATCACCAATTGGCTATCAGAGTTTTCCAAATTTTCTCCTCAGGTTGTCCTAATAAAATTTGTAATTATAAAATTAATGATGAATATTTATATCTATTTATTATTGTCTAGTTAAAAACTGTGTTATACCATGGATCAAATATAGAACGCTATGTAATTCGAACAAAAATTAATTCAAACTATAAAGTGGGAAATTTAGACTGTTTCCCTATTGTTCTTACAACTTATGAAATTTTACGTATGGACACAAAACTTTTGAAACAATATGATTGGAAGTTTATTACGATTGATGAAGGCCATAAACTGAAAAATTCTTTTACTATAACAACCAAGTATGAAAAATATACTTAATTATGACAAATAATTATTAAAACAAAAAATTGAATATCTAAATAAATACTAGATGCCTACGTGAATTTGCTTGTACAAATAAACTTATACTTACTGGGACACCTATTCAGAATAATATGGATGAATTATGGACTTTATTAAATGTATTGATGCCAAAGTTATTTAATGATATTAAAGATTTTAGCTCATGGTTTGTGATAGATGACTTTCATGGTACAAATGACCGGATTATCGATTTAGCTAAAAAAGATGAAATATTGGACATTATAGTAAAAGTAAATCAAATAAATTTAATATTATGTAATGATATATATATATACACACAAACACACACACACACACACAACATACTTATCAAATTTAAATTTTATGTTACTTATGCAATTTTTTTTTTATTTTTTAAATAGCCATTAAGCTCTAAATAATCTATAAAATTATTGATAATTGAAGTTACTGATGTCCATATCCCTCATTTTCAGATATTATAATTTTATAGCTAGTTACAGCCAATACCATATCTTAAAATTTATTAATTTATAATTACTCATTTTTAGAAGTATTAGTATTTAAAAATAACTCACGAGTAACTAAATATGTTATTGTCTTAATTTGACAAAAGGTAAATTAAATCTAATTTTTAAATAACAGTTTTTTTTGGAAAATCAGTATGTTATTTGTGTATCTAAAAAATAAAAATAAATTTAAGATATTTTATATTAAACTTATATTTACAGATACTAAAACCTTTTATTTTAAGAAGGCAAAAAATGGAAACTGATTTAAACTTGCCACCAAAGAAAGAAATTGTTATCTATGCTCCAGTCACAGAACAGCAACATAAATTGTACATGGCTACATTGTCTAGAGAAATGGACACATTGTTAAATAAGAAATCGGTAATTTTATTTTAGCTAAACACAAACAAAATATTAAACATTTCGTATTTTGATATTCATTTCGTAACATCAAATTAATCTATGTTGTCAGTTAAATTAAAAATTACTCTTGATTGTTTTTTTCGCTTATATCTATTTTTTTGTATCATATATTTTACAAGTAATAAATTAGTGATATTTATGAATTAAATGTAAATTTTTATGTTCATTAATAATGTTATCATCACATTATATATTTTTAAAACTAAAAAATATTTTAAATACAATACTTGATGCAATTTTTTTAGCATAATTATTCAATGTTCGTTAGGAATTTTGTTTAAATCTCATTACATAATGTTTTTCATGTTAAATAAATGTCTATATAATTTCAAATGTTTATTGGTGAAAAAAGTACTCATAATAAACAGTAGTCAATTAATTCACATTTAATTAAAAAATTTTTAGGAAAATCAGAGTGAACCTGAAGTAAGGTCTAAAAGGAAATGTGTAGAATCTATTGAAAGATATACTGAAAATAGAGTAATCAGAAAAACTGTGCCAGAAGAAAAGTAAGTATTAATTTTATTTAAATTTAAAACATCAGTATAATCTATTGTACCTAATATTAAATTTTGGTGAAAATTAATCTATAACTCTGCTTTTTTTATCTTTTACTGTAAAAATAATGTAGTTGATATCATAAATCTATGATATTGATATGATATATTTAACTGTTATTTGTTATAAAATATTTAAATTAAGATATGTTTTATGAATTTCAGAGTTGAGCCCAAAGATAAGGCTGTTTCATTGGTTTTATTAAATCCATTTATTCAATTAAAAAAAATATCTAATCATCCATACCTTGTCCACATGCCTTTAATTCCAGGGGAAAATGCAATTCTTGTTGATGAAAACCTTGTTAAAGCTAGTGGAAAATTTCTAATATTGGATGCAATGCTATCAAAGTTAAAGTTGCTTGGTCATAAGGTAATGTGCAATAAATTATAAGATATAAATTTATGATTTTAGTGACAATTATTAATACTTGATTTTTTTTTTTGAAATTTTATTTAATAACATAAGTTTCATTGGGTGCTTATTAATATTAAATTAATTTTTTCATTATACTTCAATTCTATAGAATCTTGGTTGATAATTTTAATTTTAAGCCAATCTTGGCCCCTTTCTTTATCATGAGAAAAATAGCAATGCCTGCACAATTGAAGTATATTTTGTGGCAATGGTAGCCACTTAATGAGAAATCAGTTGTTGGTGACTTTTTTTGACATTTTGTCAAGTGCAGAAATTTTATTGTCCTTCACAAGCTACACACATAGTATTCTTTGTCACTTTGAATACACCTCTATTGATATTATTGTAATCCATTTTAAACTATTTTCGTTTTTAGTATCTAGATTCACTTATATGTTTTTTTTTATATATAACATCATGGGAGTAGAAAGTATAATTGAAATTAATTTTTATTTTCATAGATATTGATCAACTTTTTTATATTTGTCATAACTTATTATAAATATATCTAATCTGAATTTAGCTTATAATTAGCATTTAACATTTTTGTGGTTTGTGGAAAATTTATTTATTTTTTAAAATTATATTTGATAATTACATAGTATATTTTAAAATGTAATACTTAAATAAAGTTGTGTGTGATGTATTTTGTTTTAGTGTTTTAATGCTTAGATAATATGAAAAGCATAGTATTGTAGATACAAATAAAAATTCACTTGTTTTTAAATATTAAAGAAAACTGCACAGAGAATTAATTTTAATCTTAATTTGTTAAGAATTTATAGTGTATCATTTAATTTTATAGGTGTTGCTGTTTTCTACAATGACGCAGTTATTAGATTTAATCGAAGAGTTTTTGATTTTTCGTTCCTATGAATACACCAGATTAGATGGTACCATGAAAATTCAAACTAGAGCGGAAGCAATTGATACATTCACCAATGATGCCGATTGTTTGGTGATGTTGATATCTACACGTGCCGGTGGACTTGGTTTAAATTTAACTGCAGCAGATACTGTTATCATATTTGACAGTGACTGGGTATAGTTGATTTAAAAAAAATGTGTAAAAGCATAAATTATTACGATAAATATACTTAATTTAAATGATTTTATTTATTTTATCATGAATAAAATATTTAATCATTTTTTTTTGATTTTATTAAATTATAGTTTCGAAATTAAATTTACCTGTTAAAAATCATCATTTAATTACAATATCGGTAAAAAAATGTTTATTGAATGATATTAATATTTTATAAATTTTATTTTTATAATCTTCTTTACACTGTGTTGTTAAATAGAGTAGTATAATATATTAGGAGTTTAGAAAGTCTAATTATGTATTTATGTTATATTTTAGAATCCACAATGTGATTTACAAGCCCAAGATCGGTGCCATAGAATTGGCCAAGTAAAACCGGTTGTTGTTTACCGTCTATGTACTAAAAGCACTGTTGATGAGAAAATTTTAATACACGCTGCTGCTAAGAGGAAGTTAGAAAAAATTGTTATTGGCAATGGTAAATTAACAATAAACAATAATAATCAATACATATTAAGTGATTAGTTGTATAATTTATTTAAAACTTTTTTTTTATTAATAAAATTTTACATTTTTAATTATACTAATACTTAATTTACTACTTTACACATTTTAAATTGTAGGTACATTTAATAGAAACACAAAAGTTAACTTGTCTAATATTAAGGAGCTAATGAATTTATTAGAATCATCTGATTATGATCAACAAATACATTCGAATGGATTTAGTAAGTTATCATATTTTTTTTTAATTTGTGGTTGTTCAACTGTTTCTAATAATATTTAAAATGTTTGTAGTACTATCAGATGAAGAATTAGATTCACTTTTGGATCGATCTGATATGATTAAGTCAACTCCAAAAACAGATGCTACTCAATCTTCTTCCATACATTTTGAAGTATTAACTTAAATGTTAACTATTCTTTTTTTTCTTAAAAGTAGTACCTTTATAGTTGTTAATTTTGATACATTAATTTAAAAAGATATATAATTTCATGTGTTAAAAGTTGAATTTTTTTTTATTGTTTTGTTTTTATTTAATTATTTGTTATGCAATGAGTAAGATAATTTTTTTGCATTTAAATTTTTTTTTAATTTTTACTGAGTTGTTAATTATAAGTTTGTAATTCAGAGTTGTTTTTTTCTCATGATAATGAGTATACAAAAGTGCTTTTATGCAAATAATAAAAATGTTTTTCAATAAGTTTATCTCAATTCAGTTCTTTGTTTATTGTTTATTTTATATGAGTTATATTAATAATTTATGAAGTTCAAGTATTGGTATATACTAAATGATACTTTTTATGTATTTTTTATGTAATATAAATAGTCTGAAAGTATACTGCTTCAAGATAAGAAATTAAAAATATGTTGTCATTCATAAAAGTTTAAACTGTAAAAATTATAACGATTAAGAAATATAATAATTAAATAAATACCTTGGTTGCATTGAACTAGTAAAACTAGTATTTTGGTTTGGTGCAAGAGAAGGGAGGCTTATGTTAAAAATTTAATTAATCGCACTATAAAAATATACATTTGACACTTTCACCGTATCCAAAGACTAAATTATTATTTATGATTAAAACGACAGCAATCGGTTCAAAATTCACTATCAACATAGCAAACTAAAATAGTTTTATAATAATTATTAACAGTCATCTTCATTCACTAAAGTATTATTTCATAAATATTAATATTTATTCTAGATATATAAATCAAACGTATCTTTTATTGACAAAATCTCTTGAACGAGTGTTTAACCTCCAGCTATGAAAAACTTTTCTATAAAGAATAAACATCCTCTCTTGGATAACAATATACAAGTTATTAGGTTCTCCTGATTAAGTTGCATGTTTGGCAGAGACACTGATACGCTCTGGGCGTTTGTGCATAGGTATTAATTTATCTAAACTGTAAGATTATGATTGATTAATATCTTTGTTAATTATGGTTTTTAAAATGGTTAAAATATAATATATTTGTACGAGTAAACACGGTTTTGTGGTTAGTAGTCAATTTTATTTATAAAAATACATTTTTCCTTTGTTATAATTAATCTAATCTTTTAGGATTTTGATCACGAAATTTGTTTTTCGTTTTTAATTAAATAAAACATTTAAAATTTTTCAAAACCAGAAGATATATTTTTTTTGTTTTCAAATTGGCCTTGATGGGTAGTAAATATAATTATTAATTTTAGCAAAAACTGAAATTTAAAAGAAGTAATTACTCATTAAATAATTATGAAATCTAGCATTTTAAAACCAATTAAACTTAAATTTACAAATTGTATTTATCGATTTTGAAGTGACTTTTCAAAATTGCGTTGTTGCAATTCGATAATAAATAATGTAATTTATTATTATAAGGGAGTGGATTTAGTAATATACGTGATTATATACTTAGTCCTTTATTTAATAAATCAAGACAGAAAGTTATGAACTAATTATTTTAAGATCAATTGTATTCGTCAAGTACGTAAATTTCAAAATTATTAAATGAATTATAATATAGTATTTCATTATTATATTTAATAAGTAGCTTTTTAACGTTATTTTGTCGATTCTTGCGACAAGTATATATATTGTATTGTGTATACTACCGAGGATGTATTCTAATTTCCGTCTACAGGAATAAAAAATACATAATACATATGTACCTATTATATTATACAATAGGTAATAGTAATATAATAATTGATTATTCACGTTAACAAAAATCAATTAATTACTTAATTTTCATAAAATGTATTACTCACATTGATAACCAAATATTTACTTTAAAAATTATATATGTGCGTATTTATGGGATTTATTTAGATATTTTTAAAATTTGTTACGAGAATATCTTAGATAATATGAAGCGTATTACACTATTGTTTAATGACATCCTTTGATTTATAAAATTATTTTTATAATTACTTTAATCGATTAATAATAATATTTTTTTCTAATCTTAAAAAAATAGATACCTATATATCCAAGTTATAACAACGAAATATATTGCTTTTAACTACATACTTTTACTGTTTAATAATTGTACTTATAGTATTAAATAGTATTGGCTAAAGAGAATTATTTATACTTATATTATACGTTGGTTAGGTGGTTTCTGGTTCAAAGGACTTCAATAATGATTCATGTATCGTAGGATTGACAGTGTGTGTATTTTTATATTTACCGTGACATAATATAACAACAAATATAAACTTACCGACGAGAAACGAAAATAAATAAAAAATATTTTTGTGTAAATTATTATTACTTGAGTATCACTATATTGTTTCTCATTTGATTTTCAATGTCGTATGACGATGAGTTCAACGAGGCCGTTGATGAATCACTGGATGAACAGTGGTGGATAAGAGAACCAAGAGAATTGCAGTTGGAAGAAGAATTAGTTGAAGACCGTATATTGTTTGAACCGGAATTGAATGAAAACGTTATCGAAGAGCATATTGATTACGCTTATGATGAAAAACAAATCCAATTAGCAATCAAACGTTTAGATGAACTGAGGTTAGAATTGTCAGATCTTAGACGCCGAAAAACTACAGTGCTTAACATCCTAACTGAACACATCGAAAAGGGATTGGTGAGTGATTTGCATGTTTAGTGCTTAGTCGATAATAGTTGTACTTTTATTAAGAAGACACATCACGTCCATAGCCTGTTTATTAAATATTGTTGAATGTGATTGCGTAAAAGGCCCACTGATTTTTCACTGTATAAACAGAAGAAATTTGACTACCTACGCAGTATAACAAATAGTTTTTCTTTCTTTACATAATTTTAATACAAATAATAAAAATTAGGATATTTTTCATATTTTCTAGAAAAGTACCAGGAATTTCTTTCATTTGAATTGGATATTCAATATTTATGAAACCAAAGATTTTCTTAAATTACGAGATTGAAAAATCAACATTACTAAATTTAAAAGTAATATTTCTATTCACGTAATAAACAATGATCCGTAAAAATTCTTGTTCACATTAACTTTTTAATTGAAAAAGCTAAAACGTGTAAGTTTTTAGTTTAGCTGTTGCTTGCAATTTCTTTATTATAGATTTATAATAAAAAAATAAACGTAACATACTAACTAAATATAGGTAAATTTTATTAATGATTATGGTATACCTACGTATATGTGGTTACCAGTGCGAATCTGATGTACCGATTAGGAACGGCACAAAAGAGGAAATTGAACAATACTATGAAAAGTTATTGATGCAATTTAAAAAGAAAAAGGAAGAGGTAATCCAACAAAAACATGATTTAAATGAAAAGATGATTAAAAATACTGAATACTTAGAAATGAAACGCATAGTATCTGCAGAACTCGCCGATCACCAGTATAACTTAGAATTAAAAACTGCCGTCGGAATGATATATGACAAAACAAAGGAAAAACTTTCTCAAGAAGTAACTACGATGATTTTAAACTTGTTTTTTAAATCTACAGCATTTAAGATTAGCATGTTTTATCACAGTTTATAACTTAACTTAATTAAATATATTAAGTAAAATACTTAAATGCCTGCTTAACAAATTACATTTTATGTATTATCATAAATTAATTTAATTTTCTAATATCGCTAAAATAGTTGTATTTGCTTAAATTTTAGTTATATAATATACTTACCTAAGTGATATAACTATGTAATGTTTAATTGATTTAACCCTTACTGTCCTTATTACAGGATGTAGAAAAGTTCATTGAATCTTGTAAACTGCAGGATACCAAATTAAACAAAGCGCGCTTGAATTACATTTTACAGAAACAAAAATGTAAAAAATTAAAAGAAAATATTAACGATTTGGCACCAAGTACGTTCAGTATATCTGAATACCAAGAATTATCAAAGAAAAACAAAAAACTTGAAAATAGTATAGAAATTATGTGAGTATAATTTTCTTTAATATTGCTATAATCTCAATGTCTGATATAACGGAGCAAATATAAACATTTTCTGATTGAGCTTGACCCAAGTCCCCAAACTCAACCTCTAACATTATTTTTTTAACTGTTAAAACGGAACAGAATATGATTCGATCTAATAATTTTAAAAATTATATATAATAAGTAATAACTCATAATTAATAATTACATCGCAAACGCGTATTACGTATTAATTTCCTACTTATACTAGCTACAACTATTGATTTGTATTGAATAAATGTATTTTTTGTTTAACGTATGCATTTTCTATAATTGTAAATACTCTGAAATTGACTGATAATTAAAAAGAAATAAAACAGAATCAAGTTTAAATTAAACATTAATTTATACATTTCTTTATTCTTCTTTGAATATTTTTTTAGTAAACATTTTCTTTTAATATGATTATTTATTTTTTTTTTTGAGAACAAAATGTTATTGTTACAGTTTTGTTTATAAATTTTATAAATAGGTATCTACTTATCTATAATTTGAAGTAAATTTGTATGTAATTAAATTAAAATTATTTGTTATTCTTTTAGCAGCTAAAAAACATTAAAAATACATTGTAAAATTATTTTTTTATAAACATTTGAGGTTTAAATTTTAAAATTTAATAATTTTTTTAATAAAAATTTACAAATTATTATTTTGATAAATATCAAGTTTCAACCACTATTTTTTTTCTGTATTTAAGGAAAAATATCAAAACCCAATATTTAAAAGATATTAAATCCGAATTAGCTAAAATTCCTAATATCGACAAAAAACTTATCGATTTAAAAGAAGAAAAAGAAACAAATGAAACTGAATTAAAACAAATTAAACATGTAAGTTGAATAATTTCTTTTTTAGTTTATTAGTACCAGGTACCTAACTTGAATTAAAATATTAAAAAAAACAAATTAAGTGTTCGATTTAAAAACCCTTATTTGGATTTAATTTTTTTCGAAGAAAGAAATAAAAATTCAGTATTATACTACTTGTTTTGTAATTTGGACATTTTATCAACATTAAAATTTTTTACAATCAAGAAAAATAAAAGTTTTAATTCTTTTATTTTGAGAGTAGCCAGTAGGTTAGGTTAGTTTTAATAACTGTGAATTGTTTTAATATTTAGTATTAATTTTCAAAAATTTTATTTCAACGATATTAAATAGAAAAAAAATTACAGGTTGACTAACTTTTATGTAACATAGTATGATATACGTATTATTTATTAATTTTTTTATTTATCTCACTTCAATGACTATTTCTGTCTGACAATCCATGGCTATAATATGTTGAAATACTTAATACTATAATATAGGATATAGATATAGAACCACACATACGAAATACATTTTCAGTGAATTTTAATTTTGTTTCAAAAACAGGAATGGAAACAGCTTGTTCAAGCAAAAGCAAATTACCATAAGTATGAAAAACAAATAAAAAAAGACCGTAAATCAAATTGTTTTATTGAAAATCCTCTACTTTTGAATGATTATCTCGAGAGTGTGGAAAAAGAAAAGACAATTAAAGAGTTTGCGGCCGACTTAAGTCAGAAGTTGTTTGATATCGAGGAGTTGAAAAATAAGCTAACACGTTATTTACAAAATAAACTTAAAAAAAAAATCAATGTTGAATTACTAAAATAAATAACAATTACACTCATAAAACTATTGTTGAATGTTAAATGAATTTAGGTATAAGAAATAATTTAATAATATATAGGTAGGTAGTACAAAATATTTCAAATTTTAATCAATATTGAGTATGTTTTTAAATTGTAAGCAGCGTTAAGTCAAGAAAGTTACTAGGTAAAGTACACACATTAAGTGTGGGATTGTTATTGTATAGGCTACTTGTAAAATGAAGTCACCCAGTGGTTCAATGTGGTGGGCCCAGCTAAGTCTAAAAAAATTCGCAAGTAACACGACTTTTTATTCGATAGGAATTATGGAGCTGTTTAGAAATAGTTAAAGAGAATCTTCTTTACGGATAGTAAATATAACTTGCTATGATTTGAAAGTGTTAATTTTGACTGTTCACTTAATGTAAGAGGATAGTAGGTTACAATGACTTTGAAAGTTATCGGAAATTATATCTATGTCCCTGTGTGTGGTGAAAATAGCTTTGTTATCAGTGTATTTTGCTATAGATATGTTTAAAAATGATGTTGATTGGTCAGCTGAGAAAATGTTAAATAGAACTAGAGATAGTACTTTTCCTTGTCAAACTTAAGCGTGAATCAGATAGTATTAAGGTTTTAGCATCCATTTGTGTGGTTTGTGAATAATTGTAGAGATAGTGTTTATGTTTTTTAACTTAAATAGAAAGCCATTATGCCAGACACGGTTAAAATCTTTAGAAACATTTAAGAAAACTGTTTGGTTATGCGTATTAGCTAGTTTAATTGAAATACTTAATGAATAGCTAATTAACTTAATTCTAGTTAGGCATCAGGTAGTGTCAGTATTCCGTTAATTGTAGGCATTATGCGTTTTATGAGAAATTTCTTATAGAGTAAAAAAAAATGGTTGCAAGTTAATATGGCAATATTAGGAGGAATTTTCTACCGTAGGTTTATCAGGTTCAGCGAATAAAATAACTGGAAATTTTCATTTTAAGGGGAAATATTTTATTTGTATAAACATAATTTGTAACGAGTTAATTCAGAATATGTTCAAGTGTGTAGATAAGTTTAAACAGGAGTAAATAAAAATAACATGAATATTAGTCATAATTTTAGTGATAAGGACATTTAAGTTGTACGTGTGTAATTTTATAATATTTTGAGATTATTTTAATACATTATTATCGTGAAAATGGCCTTATTTTAAAATCACGGAATAAAATAGAAAAAACTCGAATCGATATGGTGGCCAAGTTACTCAGACACTGACCGCTAATACCTTGTTACTTTATACACGATGCATCTTCTAAATACTTCGTGAATGTAGGTATGCATATGTTAATTGTAAGATTACACATTTTAAATAATTAATTCATTGGTAAATTCAACTTAGACTTAAGAATACATTTTAAAATATTTTGCTCGTATAGGCGGTATGTTTGTAAATTTTCCAAAACAAACCTTCAGCAAAATCAAAGTCTATTACCTACTTCAAAATAACCTAACCGCTAACAAAATACCTACAAAAAAAAAAAAAATGGCTAATATAAAATTTTCATTTTTAGGACAAGTTTTAAAATTGGATTTGGCGAGAAATTATGGTGACATGCAAATTTTTTAAATGAACTCGTAAATTATCGTTTAATATACGTTTAGAATCTTAGAATGACGGGTAAATTAACGAAATTGACTCATCCATAAATATTTATTCGGTGAGTTGTAATCACAAATTTTAAAAATGAATTCATAATTGATTGTAAATAACGCACTATCTTATGTTACTAATTCATTATTTCAAATTTATTTGTCACAATGGGTAAGCCAACTTTGGTCAAAATGTGGGTTTTGCTGGTAAACTCACAAATTACGAGCGATTACTCACAAGATATTAGTGAAGATTTGATGTAAATACGTTAAAATGTAGTTATATTTTAAACATTTTTTTTTTTTTTATCAATACTGAATACAGTTTTAATATTAGCTCATAGTAAATAATATGTTTCTTAAAAGTTTATTTAAGTTTGGTATTTATGAAATTATAATTATTATGACGATGTTTAATTTTTTTGATAATATTTATTGAAGCTTTTGAACATAAAAAGTCGTTACCAATTTTTAAAAATTAGGTGGCCGATAAAATTGGTGTACTTTCAGGCACTGATATTTCATTCGCATTTTCTTGACTGTTCAATAAATTTTTACTTTCTAAAAAAAGTTTAGCTCCATCAATAGCATCTTGGGTGAACATATCTTTGTTTTCATTCATATAATTGTAAGACCACACGTCCAATTCGGTGATAATAAATACTAAACCTTTTGCATACAATTCAGCACCTAAAACAAAAGAAGTAATTATAATTTATTATAAAATACTCAACATTAAGAATTTGATTTAATTTTCAAGTATTCAACACAAATTTTTCGTGTAAATTTAATTATTATTTAAAATATGTGTAAAATGGAAAGTGTTTACAAATTATTGTATATACAATAAATATATTATCACCGATGGCAAAATCTTTAGGCCCATAGAATTCATTTGAATCTATACTGGTGCCAGGTTTCCGTAACCGTGTAGCTGCCATGAATCGTCCTTTAGTAAATCCACTATTCTTACTAGCTAATTCAACTATACTCATTTGATCATTGCCAATACAATATTCCATTATAAAATTACGAAGATTGTCTATTTCATACACAGGAACCATCTTCAATTTATACCTAAGTTTTTTAGTCGCATTAAGCACAAACGTGACAAAATCCAAAGTTTTTGGTGGTTTAGGTATAAGTGATAAACAATTCTGGCGTGTATCGTCTGGATCACCAATACCAGTATGAGGTGGTATCGCCTAATAAATTATAATCGTTATATAAAAAAAAAAAAAATTATTAAAATTATTTCGCAACTATTTGTTAATAAAAGAATTAAATAGATACCAGTTGAGTCATATTTAATTTATTGTTTTTTAATTTTATTGTTTGGATGGGTTCAGGTTGAACAATTTTCAACATGTCTCTGAAGTAATCTCTAGTAAACGGATCGCAGTCGTACAGCTTAAATCTGGGAATAGAATAATATTTTACATTTTCAAGATATTTGATTAAATAGTTTGGCCTATACACCTGCGACCCATCACACTTATTGTATTTCCAATTATGAAATCTCTTGGTCGATAATATTCTTGATATTCATCATTTCCTGCTTCTAAATATATAGATGGGAAGTTTGCTGGAAATTGAACAAAATTAAAAAAATAGAGTTATTAGCATAAAATATCGATCTAATCCAATATCTCAAATACCTTTTGCATTTTATTTAAACATTAATCATGATATTCGAAATATAATAAAATATATAAATATTAGGTAGTAATGATAAATTGCACTATAGTACTCGTATATATAGGGTCCGGGACAATGGGAAATATTTAACTTACGTGGTAAAGTTGACCAATGTTTGGGTAATTTCATTTTGCTTAAAAACACAGGTGATAGATTCTGCCCACAATTATTACCCATGGTTTTTGATTCGTTGATTTCTAACCGATCGTCAGTTAGGTAATAAACGATTATGAAGTGCTTACACTCTGTAGGATCCGAAATGTCACTATTCCAGGTCGCGTAAAATCTGTTAACGGTTTTAAAAAGATGAATTATTATAGTATAATTATATGATATTTAAATAGATCCAGTAAATGCTGAAAAATATTGTTGGAAACGGGTAACGCTCCTTAACACGTAAAATGCATGTCGATAAGTAGTGGCGAGAGAGAACGAAATATACATTGTAATTTGTAGTGATTGTACTTATAAATTATAATTTTGCATCCCCTCAAGTCTTAATTCCAGAAATTCAAAGGATTGAAATATACATAAATAGAAATAATAAAATGCAAATATTTTTTTTTTTATTATTATTAATGATAGCAATTTAGAATAGGTATATAAACATATTATACCATCGAAAATATTAAATTATATATTTATATTTTATAAACCACTTATAATAAGTTTTGCATAATCTTTGATGTATTTTTGTACTATGATTTTTGAACAAGACACGGTAATATCAATTTGAAAAAAGGTATTATATTAAAGTTGAGATATCTAAGTTATTCGTAAGTTGTAATATTTAAATTTTATATTTAATTATTATTACATAAATTTAAGTAAGTATGAACTATTAATGAAAATTTTAAATTTTAAGAACAATACAATTAATAATATTTTATTTCTTTTTTTTTTATAAATTAAATATAATTATTTTCAAGATATAAATATGTATTGATTAAGATTTGAGAAGAATACTTTTGGTAAAAATTATAATTACATAGGTATTTTTTATGAAAGCCAAAAGATATGACCATTAGAGGTAGGTTGATTTTAGGTACAGATATTTTTAACTATTTAAGTTAATACAAAAAATTTAATATAAAAGTTACTATTTTTTTTATTTTTAAAAGTAACTAATTACTACAGATTTGTTACTCTAAAAAAAATATATAAAATTTAGAATTATATATAATTTTAAATCTTAACAAATAGCATAATAATATGATAAAGCCAACTTATTACAAAATAAAATCTGTTTTAAATCTATAAAGTTTATTCTTGGAAAAAAAATTAACTCGTTATGCAAGTTTTTTTAAAAATAACTCGTTTTTAATGTTTATTCATTAACCAGCCTCATCCAGCTTTGTACGAGGATCAATTAGATTATTCTATACTTGTTATCAAGCCAGTTTAAATATCCTTTACTAGTATATTATTATTTATTATCTTTTTACTTATTGACAATAAGTTATTGTATAAATAGCACAGACTAAATACTCCATTTCTTTGAAAGTATATAGTTATTTAAAAACAGAAAAGAGGAATCTATGATTGAAATGCGATACGTATAAAAACATTATGGTTTGGGATGCCTATAATTTTTTTAGTATCTATTGTCCTCCTTACGGTTTGTACTGTTGTGTGTCGATAATAATATGTTATATTGCAATCATATCGTTACATCGTGTCCATAATTCCAAATTAGAACTAGACATACCTCAGGACTTTTCCGTCATATTCCAAAAACTGCCTGAGCTTGTCTTCTGCAAACTTACCGTCGGACGCCAACGATGGCAATTTTGGTTGTTCATTTACCCACTGCAGTTTCTGCTGTCTGATTGCGGTGTAAGGGTCGTCGATCACCCGTTGGTTGTCGACCACCTCCATGCCCATACTCGTCAAATATTTTCTGGTGAACATGTCACAGCCGCACAACCTGTACGCGGTTCCGTAAAAATTTACTTCCCCGCCTATGATAAAATCAGACCAATGCCAAGGTCTACCTTCGCGATTTGGATTCGGTATCTGACCGCGTTTAAGTAGACATCCTTGGACATAACCAGCGTTCTGCAAATTAAAAAATAAATACTTTTTTATAGTACTTAATATCAAATATCAATAAAATATTTTATTGTTGCGTTTAATATCATTAAACAAAAATTATAATTATCGCTTTCTTTAGCATTATTATTACCTACCTACCGAAAACATGCATTATTTTTGAAAATAATATCTTATTACTTGCATCTTAAATGATAATAATCTACCTATATTTAGGTCTAGGTACTAGGAAAACATAATATCTATACAAATATCATTTGGTTTTAACAGTTATTAAAAGTGTATGTTCTAGTATCTTCTATGTATCATTTTATTTTGTAAAATTATTCTTAAAAGAGATCACATATTTTAAAGTAATTTTAAATAGTAATTACTAATGTTGGGTAAATGTATATAAAAATATAATGTATAACCTTTTCATTTTTTTTAAACTAGAATACATAATCAATCGCAATACAGAATTTAGATTTTTTTTATCAATAAATATTGACCAATCAACCATATACGAGCAGTAGATACTTGATTTAAAATTGACTATAGCCAATTAGAAGTTTTTTTTTTATAATTTTCACATCATATTCATTTTTTTAAACAGAATATTAATAAATAAATTCTAAGGTTTCACGAAATTGTAAAAACGATATTTTAGTATATATCGTATGTGTCCACTATTAAAATATAAAAGTTAATTTAAATGAAATATTTTTATCATTTCATATTATTGTGCTTAACTTGTTAATATAATGTTAAATTACAAATTTCCTATTAATAGATATAAAAAATAATTTATGTATTAAAAAATGAAGATTATATTATACGATGCTTTTATTTTTAAGATATAATTCAAAAGTTTTAATAATTTTTTTTTGAAGTATTATTACATTTTAAATCAAATGTACCAAATATGTTGAGATTTGGATGATATTTTAAAAGCAACTTTTATAATCAAATTGTGGTGCCTATTTCACAAAAAATAAATTACGTTTAAGTGACGTATAATATTGCGTATCTAAATAATAAAGTATGTTTATACAGTTCACTGGATATACAATACGTTAATTATATAATTTTGTTACCCATTTGATACTTAAAAAATAGAATGAGAAGTGAAAATATCAAAAGAATAGTAAAGATAAAAATTAACCTTGACAAAAGGCTCCACGACGGTAATAGTGTCATCAACCAAGAAGTATGTAATTTTAACTTTGCGCACACGAAATGTCTCTATTGGTGAATTATTTATGGTATGTTGGGTGTATCCAATAAAAGAGAGACATTTTCTATCAAACTTTACGAAATTTGGTGGATCAATTGGTCTTGGATCGTCTTTAGCTTTTCCATATGTCAATGTTGGATCGTAACTGTAAAGTGTAAATTCAACGTACAAATTTACACAAAATTGGTGGTGATATTATAAACTGTTTAGCCTTTGAATCAAATAAAACATCAATAGATAGTATACCTACAGTTTTAAAACCGTACCATCCAAATCAAAATTTATATTCAATTTAACGAATTATGAAAATTATATATTTACAAAACTATTGTTAGAATGAATATTTGATACAATACTTTATTCATATTATTTTTCATTGTATTATCGACATAATATTAATACATTTTTTTTTTTTTAATTCAGTTTAATTTGATATTAAATTCGAATAGTTTGGTTTTTATTTAAGGTTCAGGATAAATAGGGAAATTGTAATTTTGATTTGGTTCGAGTCGTTTAGGAATCATTTATTCCTTATTAGGTTATTTCAATTTTTCATAAAATACTATAATAATTCTATTAGTGTTTTAGTTTGTACGATCTCATTTGGAATTTATTATTTATTGATTGTAATTGAACAATTTAATATGCGTAAAAATATGATTTTACAAATCAAAGTAAAGTGTTATTATGCTATGCGACGATTTTTATTGTGATATATCAATATGTATATTAATTGTATTATACATGCTAAATGAGAATGAACAAGAATTTTAACAGGTACTATAGAGGTAGGTTATATTAAATACCTATAGCCTACCATTGCTGCTTCATTTAATTATTCATTCGTATTGTTTCAATTTTTTTTTTCGTGTTTTTGGTACGTTTTTAGACATTACGTTTCATTTAATATGATTACCGAGTTTGACTTGTATCTATTAAAATTAAAAATTATTGACAAGTAGTAACCTGCTAGGAAGATGTAAGCTATACAAATTACAAGCATACTGATACCTACTGTTAATTGCTATGTTCATATACTTATATGCCTTAACATTGCATGTAATTAATAATTATTAAACGTACGATTTTAGGCAGTATATTTAAGTACCGATTATACATACCCAGCGATGTCGAATTTTTCACCATACAAGATGGTGTCAACGTCTAGTATACTCTTTCCTATACCCGTCGACTTGACTTTGGGAAGGGCATATCCGTTTTTCCAATGGAACTGAGCACTCAAATTGAAATATTGTTTCTGCGTCAAATATAATCAAGTATAAATTCATGTGTATGACAATTTCCTATCAAATATTACTAGTTTGTCACGCACAGATCAACTTAACATTACAATACGATAAAGTTACTTACTGTTATGTCGTTAAAACGAAATCCCGGAATAAAAGGCAAACGGTCCATTTTTTTTTTTTTTTAAACAATATATTGTTTTAACATATTAAATATTGTTAAATTGTTATCAATTGAAAGATGTTTGTTTAATACATTTAATTTAGTTACTTGGCGAACAAAATAACTGTACAAAATATATATCAAAATCACATTCATAAATAATGCCGTAAATACCAAAAAACATTGTTTGTAATATTTACTGTTACATGAAGTTACTTTTTTGGAATTATAAAAAAATTATATAGATTTTATGATCAAAAATTTCGGGAATTAAGCACAAAAACACACGAATGTGTGTATAGACAATCACAATATATGAAATTTACAAGGATTTTTATTGTTAATTATAGCAAATTTTAAACCTACGAGTATATCTAATATGTGTTATTACAAAATATTTGATTTGTCGATATATTTTACAATTTTTTATAATGTTTAAAAATATGATTTATTACTTTGAATACACAGTTTAGACTTAATTATTATTGCATTTACTGTAATGATGTAATTTAATTATTTATATTAGGTAGTTATTATTAAGCTCATAATATATATTTTTAAATTATTTATATATAAAGGTTTTTATTGGGTTTTGTTGGGCCCAACTTGAATTTTAATAAGAATAGCTTAATAATCTTTTGTATCAATTATTTTATATTTTTTAATCTAACTACAAGAAATTTTTCATTGTTTTTCTTTGATTTGTTTTTAACTATACATTCTAATACACTATTACAAACTGTTAGAGGTACGTATATTTTCCAAAGCTAAATTTTCAAATAATTGAACTTATAGTTTCAAACATGACAATAAATAATTCTTTGGTTTATTTATTATGTTAAGTATTATTGTTTATAAATACTACGAGTAGAATCACTTTTTATTTTTCTTCATATATTATCGAAAATAAAATTAATCTAGTTCCCACACCGTCATAAGTCTTATGTACGAGTATATCAATTTTAAAATTATATTTTATTAATTATTGGCATTTTTAATGTTAATATTATTATTTATTTTTTTTTTGTTTATTGTCTTGGTTACTGTATTTTTACGTAATCTTACGTTATAATACTTTTACCTATATTAAAGATTTAATTTTTTGTTATCTGATTTTAATAAAATTGTTTTTTTTTTTTTTAAGTATAACGCTTAAATCATTTTTTATAATATTTTTGAAAATTTCTTCATTGGAACAAAATATTTTCTTTTATATTATTTTAAGAAAAATCGAGAATAACAATGTATACTGAATAAAAAAGAAAAACCTTATGGATTAAAAATGTACACTATAGGTCAGGTTCATGAACATATGAGTGTTATACTGTAATAAAAATGAAAAATATTCAAGAGTATAAAAATAGGTAGGTACTATAAATAATTTTATTATTCTGCGTTTGTACATATTTAGATTAAAATACATGCAATATAATAAATACACCTCGAAAATATTGTTTAGGTATGTAAAAAAAAATATTTTGATTAGTTATGATAATGCATAATAATAATAATAACAACAACATTTGACCCTAAATGATTTAGTTAAATCTAAGGGAAGGATTACATGTGATAGACAGCTGTCTATATTTTTGATTGAGCACTAAATTCTATGATTATGTATAGTTTGTGTTAGGTATTTCTATGTAATAATTAATACTGCTTACTACCCACGGTAACTTTCGTTATCTGTGGTTTGTCTACTACTTGTTTAAGACCTTTACACAAGGTCAAAGTTTTAGACAGTAAAATCAATTAAGTATATTAATACGAATATTAAAGGAAGTTGTACATCGTGATTCGTGAGTACAAGTATATAGATAGATACATAATACAATTTGTACTATAAATTATAATATGTGTCAACTGTATTTTTATAATTATATGTTTGCCATTTTAATTTTAATAGATATAAGTATATCATCGATAGGTGATGCTTTTGGCTCACTCAATCATTTTACATGGATATGAATTAATTATTGGTTATTTTCGTAAAACTATAGAATGTATTGACATGACTCACCGTTTTCTATATAAAAAAGGAGGGTAGATTGGGCACTGCTCTACTGTATCGTAGGTGTCACGTTAGTCACTTAATGAGTTAAATTTGAATTAAATTAAATTTTATTATACACGAAAAACAATTTTGAGTGGAAACGTTCTATGAACAAAATTATTTTTTGCAAAAAATATTGAATTTTAAAATATTATTAAGCATACAAAATATAATAAAACATAAAAGGTAAAAGTTGTTTTATTCCTATGAATAATGTTTTTGAATTATAAAAAAAAATAATGAATATCGATGTTTGTAGTTTAAACATGAAATTTTGTTAAAATGTTAACTTAATCATCTTTTATCTATTATAGATTTATAACATATTATAGAATTATAATTATGTCAATAAAAAATATGCTTTTATATTTTTTGATTTTAGTATGATCTACTAATGAAAAACTTTGTATTCAATTTTTATGTCTCAGTTTTAAAAATTACATATTTTTGTAAAATTTTAACTGAAAAATTATTTGTATATTTTTATGATTTTGTCTAATTATTTAAAAATTTGAACCTCTAATTCTTATATAATGGACTGTGCAAATATATTTTTATATTTCTATAAAAATGTTTAATGTATAGAGAATTCTATTAAATTTTTAAGTTTTGACCAAATAAAAATGTTTTTATTAACATTTATGGAAAAATTCAAAACAATATTGAACAATTCAAATATCTTTAAACAACACAAAAATAATTGAAATATTTTAAAAATATTAGAAAATGTATAGAAAATAATCATTTAGTAAATATGTCAAGTATTTTGCATTATTCGTATTTCATAATAACAACAAAATATTTCAAAAATATTAACATTATTAGTCAACTTTGAATTATTGTCCATACCTACAAGATTAAAAATAAAATAAAAATATATAGGATAGCGTAAAAAAACATAAACATTATTATTAAAAACATAATTTGTAATTGTTTTTATATTTTACATAATAATAATAATTATTATAATTTATTATAATATTTTAATATTATTGTTAATTATTATTTTCAAATTATGTTTGTTAATTATTGATATGTTTTCTTTAGTTATAATCAATATTTTTCGTCTTAACGTTAAAATAAACTTATGAAGCCCTGAGCGACAAATAATATAATATTCTTTATTTTTTTTTTTCTTGCACATGTAATAATTTTTGTGTGAGTTATAATACAATTAATGTTCTTAGAAATCCTCAGGGTTTTTTTTTAAATACACATTAATACTTTAGTTTTATACTAAGTGAATATTTATTTATTTATGATAACATAATATAATAAGTTATAATATTATATATATATATTGTTTAAAGATAATATTTGCTTTGATTTTTTTTTCATTTATATAGTTTTCAGTATTAAACTATTACAGCTTGACAATTAAATAAAATAAACTTATAAGTAAATAATATTACATAATAACTTATACATATCTTATAAGATAGCAAATATAAAATAACAAGATTAGATTGTTAGCACAATAAAAAAAATATATAAACATAATAATATAATAAATAATTATTGGATAATTAGTGATTAATTTAAATTAATTAACTATAAAGATAAATGTTTATGTAAAATCTCGGTTAGGAGGGAAATTGTTTGATCCTTAATTCATTGAAACTGGAACAATATAACAAGATAAGTTGTACCCGTGACAATCGCCTGGTAAATTAATAAAAAAACATAATAAATTAGAATCATAATTGAAATTAAGCTAAAGGAGATTGTTGCAATTTGTTAAAGTTAGATTAGAATTACGTATTATAATGTCGATTTTTAAAAGACATTTTTAGTATTTACGTATAAATCGAGATTTAGGAATACTTTCATTTAGACATTATACGTAACTACGCGCTGCCGTAATTCTTTTATTGAAGTTTTGAAAATCCAAATTCATAAATGTATTGAATTGACATTAAGAATAAAGAAAATGAATAATGTCACATTACATTAAAAACTAAAACCAATAAATATGCCCAAGGTCCAACTCGTGTTCAATGTTAATCCTGTGAGATTTTCGTTTATCTATTGTCGTTTTCTATTATAGTCTAAACGGCTTTACCAATTTAACCACAATCATTCAGTATAGTCATTTAGGTATTAACATGTTTGGCTTTTCCCATTTCAGTTTTCGAATTTTTTTTAGTGTCTTTATAATAATGTATATATTGGATAGTAAACACCAAATTAAAAGAATTTCAATACTTGATAATATTTAAAAATTGTATTTTACATTAATTGTAGTTTTTTTTTTAATTAAATTTATACTTTTAATTTAATTAAAGAACTATTTTTATGAAAATGTTTATGTATAAATATATCTAATATATACACAAAAATTATTGTCATAAATCACATCAGAATAATAATGAGATAATTGTCTCTTATTTTTATAAGGTTTCATAATAATTGTGATTTAAGATTGTATACTAGTTGATACAAATAAATAAAAATATTGATTTTTCAAGAATAAGTAGCTACTTAATGGTTATTAGTGCTGTTTATTGCCTTTATTAGACATTAGTACAATATAGAAAGTTATTATTTGATACAAGATCAATGTAATTCGCATACTTATATATAAAATATCACGAATTTGAATTAAATTTGAAATTGTATGAAGTAGCTGATATGTGATATTAAGAAAAATCAAGCGTGTCTTAAAACTTTTGTTATTTGGAGTGGGTCGAATTTTGAATAGCAGTTTAATAATAGTAAGTTGATTACTTCAAAAATTATTAAAATTTATTTTAGTTTTATAAAAATAGGCTTAACTATATTTTTTTTTGAATTCCATTTTTCGTGTAATTAATTTCCCTTTCATGGCTACAAGCAAGCATTCAACGAAAATTTACAAAAATAGTAAAGCTACAAACAAGTATATACTTTAATTATAAAATGCTTTTTGAGTATGGTTTTATTGGCAAATATTAAAGAGTAGATGAAAATAAATTATTTTAAATAATTTAAACGGGTGTTACTTACAGAAGTAATAAGACGTATATTAATAATAAACATATCTAAGGTTGTGAAGTTCACCGAACGACTGGATAATTCTTGCAAAAACAATTGTAACTAAAACCAATATTAACGCGAATATTAAAATTATTATTGTTACAAATGTTACAAATTGTAACTTACAATTATGTTATAATAATTAATGTATAGCATAACGTTACCTCTTCTTTTGTATTTTTATCCGTAAGACGAGAATTGATATCAGTTATAAGAATTTTCGATTTGAGAGCCTAAAAAATAGTTTTATTACTTTTTGACGGAAAATCAAAAATTGATTTGTTGTAATTAGTGTTGGTGCAAATATTCTTGTATGTATACAAATAATTTAATTTATCGTAAATGAGGATGCTGTACGCTAATGATACGTATGAATATTTTGAAGACAAATATTTTATAATTTACATAATTTTAATTGTAAAATTTTAATATATATATAGTGATTCACCAAGCGTACTCATCTCAACTTTTTCCTTTATTTAAATTCTGATTTTTAGAATTTTTAAGTTTACTCAGTGACCATATTTTCATTTATTTACTTATTTATTTATTTATTTTTATCATTAAAACGATGTCCGGTGATTATATAAAGTTTTTGAAAACTGACATATACAAATCAAAATTAGAACGATTAGTTTTTTAAATTTGTAAAAAGGACTGAAGAGTAAGGTTCATAGCATGTAACATAATTTTGTTGGAATAGTTATAAAACATTATAGTGTATGAGCATACATTTTATTCAAATATTTGCATAGATTAAAAACGCCGGTAAAAAATAAAATAATTAAAAATTTAATCGTTACCGCGCGGAAATATTTTTGGCTATCCCTCTCAAAAATGACAAAATTCCACTTTGTTCATAATTTTTAACTATTTTTAAAATGCCCCTTATCAACATCGACATATTTTTTACGGATAATTCCTAATGTAAAAGTAAAAGAATTGAAATAATATGATTTTGTGCTCGCGGCCATTTGTCTCGAATCGTATATTCGTATACGCGTGTAACCGCACGAATTCCAAACGGTATTTCGTTATACACACACATATACATATATATATATATTATATATTTATAGGTATTATAGACGTTTAGACATGAACTGTGGCTACCGTCATCTTTAAGACAATTTTTTTCCAAACATATTTTCCAGATTGGACGACAAGGGACGAGTAACTCGTTCGTTTTTTACGTGTAATAAAATAACTCGCCGCCGCCGGTCGAAAGGCGAGAGCGTGACGTCACATCGCTCTCGTCCGCCGTCGACGCGGCGCCACCTATATACCTGTTTGGTGGTGACGTGCGTGGTGATCACGATGACGGTGAACCGGAACGCGTACTGGAACACCCACGCGTAGAAGAACAGGTAGCCCTTGGCCGTCTCGACGACGCCGGACACGACGGCGTAGATGTCGAACAGCGCCATGACGAACAGCGCGGACAGGGACGCTCCCAGCTGGAAGCCGTACAGCGCGTTCAGGTCGCCCACGGAGTCGCTGACGAACTGGTGCCGGAGCTTGAGCCGCTCGACGCTGTCGGCGGACGGTGGACGTCCGGTGGCCGCGCCGGGCGGGCTGCACGGCGACATGAGCACCGCCGGGTACCGGTTGGCCGCGATCGTGTCCGACCGGATGGCCGACATCTCGCCGTTGATCTGGCAGAACTTGAGGCACAGCCCCAGACAGTAGACGACGAACTGCAGCTCGGTGACGCACATGGTGGCGTTCTGCACGTACATGAGCACGAAGAACGCGACCAGGCCGGCGTCCCGGTAACGGTCGTACAGCAGGTGCACGCGGTACACGTTCGGCAGCACGATGAGCGCGGCGCACCCGGCCGCCACGACCGCGGCCAGCGCCCAGTGGCAGCGAGCGTCGCGCGCGTCCGCCGGACAGTGCGCGTCGTACTCGGCGGTCTTGGCCTCGTACGCGGCCACCGCGCCGGTCGCGCCCTTGTACACCATCGCCGCCCGGGACACCATGCACCGACGGCCACGGCCCGCGGGAATATCGCCATGATGATCGTGGTCGTCACGTTGCCGCAGTCGCCCAGCATGCATATCATGTACGGCGACCACACGTACGTGTACACGCACGACAGCAGCAAAGCGGCCGACACCGCGATGCCGGAGTGGTCGCACAGCGCCATTTGCCGGCCGGGTGCGGCCCGGCGGACGGTCCGGTCTACGCGGCCGCGCGACGGGCCGGCGGGCGTCGCGGGAGTGCGCGGCCGCGTACGCTCGTCATGGTGCGCACGACGGCGCGAACGGCCCTGCACGCCGAGACCGGCTCCGTTAAATGTTCTGAAAAATCCCGAGCGCCTTTTGCTGCAGCAAACGAAAATATAAAATGCTCGTCCCGTCGGGCGATGTATTATTATTATTATTATTTTGTGTTATCTCGTCGCGTCTTTTGACTTATCGTCGTCGTTGAAAACGTCACTGGTGCTATCCAAAGTCCCAGTGGTTTGCAAAAGAATCGCGCGAAATGGATAAATCGATTTTCGATAAGTTTACGCGTAAATTACGACGCGGCGAATGACGGTCGTCCGTGCAACGAGCACGTCAACGTTTCGTTCCGTTTTGAAACGTACACCTACTGTTTTTGTTTTTTTGTTTTTTAATTCTGCGGTTATACCCGTGACCCGGGTGAGGTCTGATAACACCGAGGAGTAAGCGACAAAATCCCGTTTTTCGACTAGTTGTCTTGCGCGGAGAGAACAACATTTTTAGGATACATTTTTGGAAGTTATATGGCGTACATTCAAAACATTATTTACCGATATCACGCCTTCGCGACGTCAACCTCCTGCGGGGCTTAATGTAAACTGCGTTTTGACGAGCGTGAGTGTGGTCATTGTCGCAGTCATTTGATCGCAAACGCCTTGTACCGTGATGAGATCCGCGTTTGACTGACTCTCTGCGCAGCTGAAAAAAATCCTTAGAACAAGTCACCGTAAATTAAATTATCTTCTTGTTGTTCCCGCAGCAAACTGCATCCTCGATGGCGACCGGACGCTTCTCGTTTTCTGATCCGAACTCCAACTGCTATTATACTTACACGTCGTTGTACCGAAACAGTATATTATAAATGTAAATACAGATCTTTCAATGGTCGCAGGTGGCGAAAAAAAACTTTGAAAACAACACCCAACCCTTGCGCGCCGACGATTTTGTCGATAACGCCGGTATGCGCTTCGTTCGTTCGGTGCTGTTGCTCTCCCAGACATGGCCATTCTCCAGGTACATGAACGAAGAACACCAACACGACCGGGTCCGACCGGTTGGCGAACAGCAGCGACAGCCTCAGCGCGTTGATCGGCAGCGTGACGGACATGCACAGCGCCACGTACAGGCCGCGGAACAGGGCCGGTCCGGCGCTCGGCCGCCGTGGTCGGCGAGTACACGTCGTGCGCCTCCCGTCTGCTCGTACACCGGCACCGCGGCCCCGCACTTGCACAGCAGCGCGGCCGCGGACGCGAAACGCGCCGGCACGGTCCGGGCGTACATGCCCCGCAGCGAGGTGACCGACACCTCGGCGCACCGCCGTCCATCAGGCACAGGACGAGCGGCGCCGTCGTGAAGTTGAACACGCACGTCGTCAGTAGCGCGACCACCGCGACCGCGGCCACCGTCCGTTTCCAGAACGGGGCGGTGCGCGTCGCCAATCGTTCATGCCAACGTCGCCACCGCCGCCGCCACCGCCGCCGCGTGCAGCATTACAGTATATGGCGGGGCGTAGCGATGAAACACCTGACAAACCAAACGATCGAAGTTTTGATTATTTTGTTTTATATATATATATATATAGAAAATTTAAAACTTGATAAAGTGCATGTTTGTGATCGAACTAATAATGAGTAATAATGCAATTTTCATTAAT